CTAGTATTTTATCTTAGTCACATATGGATACCTTTTCAATTTTTTTCTCCTATAACCATAGGAATCCATCAATCAAAGTTTTCCCGTAAGAATACGTGGGTGTGGTCGGAAAAGATCATTATCCATCGTTTAACGATTGTAATGGAGTAGCCTACAGTGATCACAGTCGGTGGATAATTTATCCATCCATCATGATTTTGTGTTTGCTTGCTTTGTTTGTCTGTCTGTTTTCTTTTGGTATCTCTATCACATTTTTTTTATTGCGTGTACAACATCCATTCGAATGGATTAGTTGTGTTGTTCGACAATGACTAGAAGCATTAGTCCCATTTATAGAAATACAAATAGTTATCAGAAGAAAAAACAACTAGATCTATAGAAAAATAGATTTCAATTTGTATAATATATCAATCGTAAATAATCAAAATGAATCAGTCAGCCAAGATTGAGTCAAAAAGTTATGATGTTGCTGATCATTTCCCTCCTCTTCCTTCCTCAACGGGTACCGCTAAATGACAAAATCGGCCTTCAGCAATAGTGACTTCATTTATTTTCTCTAAGCATATACAAATAGGCATATTACAAAAAAGAAAGAAATTGCAATTTTAATGTTTTTCTAGGATGACAAAAAAAAGAGAAAAAGGAGAAAAAAAAGAGGAAAAATAGTTCAGTAAGATACAACTAACCATTTTTCTTTTTTTTGTTAACAAGATTGTTTGAATGTATCAAGGTTCTTCTTTCCTTCGTTTTTTTTTCTTAGATAGGTTTTCTTTTTTTGTTTTTTCTTTTGTTTTATATATTTTTGATCAAATCAGTAACAATGCTAATTAGACTGCTTCTCAGACTCTCATATACAATGAAAGAGCATGACATTGGCATTCTCACACAAGAAGAGAAGCATCAACAGCAGTCAAACGGAACGGTAATAGTAATTGAAGAGTAGACGATCTCTTTTCGTTCACGTCGTCATTTTTCTCTGACTCTCTGGTTTTCTTTCTTTCTCTCTCTCTCTCTCTCTCTCTCTTTCTTTTGCTCTCTTCTCTCCATCTCTCATCGTTATATTCTTCTCTTCTTCTCTTCATACGTCGAAACAACGGCGTTTGCTCCTCACGCATGATCGTCTCAAAATGAGACATGCTACATCATGGCGAAAGAATCAATCAGGAGATGACGCTTTCGGCAGACCGCTTGAAACTTCGACTACAACTTTTGACACCGTTCTGGCATTACTATATTCATCGACAAAAACGACACAAACTATTCATATTAAATTTGAAACCAATCTTCATCATCAACGTGCAATCGAGCACATTATCTTCATCTTCATCATCATCATCATCATCATCATTTGCCAGAAGCATACTAATCATCTTCAACATCACGTCTCTGTCTTATCATTTATATATATTTTTTTCTTTATTTGCTGCTCATTGTTCGTCATGCAACAACTATCGAATGATACTGGTTCGTGGAATATAATTGATTCTCCACTTCCAGTACCTTTATTTTATAATTCAAACGCATATGATACTTTGTCAAATGGTGACATAAAATTAAATGACTTAAGTAATCCAATTATACCAATACCAATTGACCCATTATCATCATTAACACCACAAGGAGCGATTATTGAAGCAAATGTAGTTAATTATTGGGCATTTGCACTTATATTTTTTCCTTTATTTACAATATTTGGTAATGTACTTGTTGTTGTAAGCGTTTATCGTGAAAAATCTTTACATACAATAACAAATTATTTTGTTGTATCACTTGCTATATCCGATATAACTGTTGCTGCTGTTGTTATGCCATTTGCTATTTATCTAGAAGTAAGTCGTAAAATAATTTAAAAAAGATAAATGATAATTAACTATGCTTAGTTAATTTTCATTTTATTTATTATTAATACGGAAATGAGCATGATGAATATATAGGATTGTTTTGAAATAAATATTCTTAATTTAGATATATATTATTTATGTAATAAGTAAATTAAAGATAATTTCTTTTGAAATTTAAAGATTTCGATATAGTTGACGGAACCTCATTATGAATTTTTATGTCTAATTATGAAGGTTTTTAGAATATTTTTCGTCAAGAATATAATTGTCTTAGAGAGAAAATGGTTAACGATATCCTGTAGAAGAGAAACGGAAGTATCTATCGTCATTGAACTTAAGCTTTTCCCTATTAACTTCCGAGAAGTGAGTATATCTTTCACTTGAGTAACTTTCTTTTCTTCATAAACATCCATACCAAAAGAAAACATCTTGTTTTAAGTTATATTCATTTTATTGTATAACAAAAAGAAACAAAAGACTAATTTTCAGCTAAATTTCACACTTCAAGCAATGTTAACACATGAAATTTGACATCAAAAGTTAAATTAAAAGAATTTTTTGTATTTTAGTTTAATCGAGTATGGGAATTGTCGGAGCGCTTATGTGATTTTTGGGTTGCTTCTGATTGTATGGCCTGTACAGCATCAATATTAAATTTAGTATGAAAAAAAAATTTTCTTTTCGAAATGACTTCATTAATTTTCTTTTTCTTTAGGTTGCAATTGCAGTTGATCGGTAAAATAATGTTTTTTTTTTAAATTTTAAATAAATTTGTTTTGTCCTTAATACTAGTTATATTGCAGTAACAAAACCACTTAAATATGCTCGACATAAAAATCCAAAACGGGTTGCCATTATGATTGTTATCGTATGGCTTATTTCATTTTTTATTGCTTTACCAATTGTTAGGTAACAAATACAAATAAGATTATAGAAAAAAAAAAGTTTCTGTGTGAAAATTTTTGATCTTTTAGTGGTGTAAATAAATCAGATGTGGCTGAATACCCACGTGTTCCCGAACAATGTGCATTTTTCAATAATAAATTTCTTATATTTTCATCGCTTGGTTCATTTTTCATTCCATGTATTATTATATTTGCTATTTACTATCGAATATTTATGGTTATTATGGCACGTGCAAGACAAAATCGTAAACAATGGAGACCTAAAGCAGCTATTGAATCAGCTGCTGCACAGCATCGTTCAAATGCCAATCATTTAGTATCATCATTATTACAAGAACGACATAATTCAAATCATCTACCAATCGCGAATGATACTCTTGTAATGATAACATCCACAATGACAAATAAATCTCAAATAATAACCAATCCATCAGTACCTTTAACACATAATAATGAATGTAATACTTTAATGTTACAATTATCTACACCTGCGTTAGCACCTGCAATACGTCCATCAATAAATGTTACATCATCATCGGGTGATCCAGTAGATGATGATGAACGTGATGACGTCGCTTTATTTGTTCATCATGAACAACAGCAACAACAAAAAAAAACTAATAATAATAATAATAATAATAATAATAATAATAATAGTCATCATCATGATGAACATGAAAATCAAATTGAAATATTACCATCAACAACCATAAAATCAAACATTAAACCTGATAAGACTACTCCATTTAAAACAACAACACGCAGTTCACAAACTGAAAATCATCATGATGGTCATCCTACAACTAAACATTTTAAAACACGTTTAAAAAACAAATCAAATTCTCATAATTCATCACTAACAACTAATATTACACAACCAAATAATACTAAAGTTGCTAAACGAAAAGCTTATTCTCGTATGAAAAAAGAACGTAAAGCAACACAAACACTTATCATTGTGCTAAGTATGTCTTTAAAAAAAAGAAATTCTTTTACGTCTTGCTTTTCTTTGGATTTTATCAATTTTGAGGATATATATCTTAATCAAGTATTAATATTTAATGAACAGCAAAAAAGCCAACATCAAGATAAGATTTTTGAAATTGGTTGCTTTCTCTAGTGAGGGAATGACGATTGTGACGTTTTTCATATTAATAAACCAAAAGAAAAAAATTAGAAAAAATAAAATAGTATTAATTAATTTATTTTAAGTTAATTTATTTTCTTCTGTTTAGTTTGCTTTCTAGTATGTTGGTTACCATTCTTTGTGCTCAACAATTTAGTCAATGCTATTGTTAAATTAACTAATAAATCGAACACTTTATTAATTCATGATTTTACATTATCATTATGTGTGTGGTTAGGATATGTAAATTCATTTTTAAATCCAATTATTTATACAATATTCAATCTTGAATTTCGTAAAGCATTTGCCAAAATTCTTTTTTCGCCATGTAGATTATCCAATAATTCAACTTCGTAATTAAAAACCGGTTCTCTCTTTTTTTTTCTTCTTCTTCGTCTTGATTTTTCTTTTTCTCTTACTTGTTTATATGTTTGTTTCGAATTCAATGCACCACCGCATTTGTGATGTGTGTTTGTGTTTTGTAGCTGGTAAATCCTATCTAACCGTCTTTTTTTTATTTTTGAAAAAGAATAATATTTAATGAAACAAAATTAATAACGTTATATATAGTTATCTTAAGTCAAATACTAGATAAACAAGTAAAATTATGTCAACGAGTACATACTATTTTCTTTTTTTGATTTGATTTGCCTTAAGTATAGAAAGAACACATATTGCTATCTGTATTCTTTGTCCTTTTTTTTTATATGTCGATAGAATTCCATCAATTCTCAAGAGAAATCTTATTGCTTTCTTTGTAATAAAAACATCAGTGGAGAGCATGAATAGATTACTTGAGATTCTGTCGTGTGATTAGTACACTAGAATAACAATTGACTATGGGACTAAGGAAAAAAGAAAAGGTCAAAATTATTTCAAGTAATTTTTTTATTAAAAAACATTCAACAAGATATTAAGAAGAAACAAAAAAAAAATTTTATGTGAAGAGTCAATGTTCATCGTACAACTGCTCTCCGAAGTTACTCAATATTACATTGACGGAAGATGTTCAGAGAGTAACGAATTACAAGGCGAGGATGGAGAAGATAACGATAAATTCATCGTTGAACAAGAACTAAACAAAAGTTCATTCATGAATGTATGATCAATAATAAGAATTATCTGAACTTACGATTGATGCCATTGTGTCGAGCTTAAATAACCAGCATTATTATTCGTATTCCACATGGGACTTGTGTTAGTACTAAAAGAATTTATCATAAATCTTAATTTTTAGGTTGATTGTATTTGCATAAAAACTTACTCATAGAAAGATGGAACATGAGGATTAGCTGAATACGATGTTGCTGTTCGAGTATCAACGATTGGAGATGGCCAAAAATATGATGGATAATAAGATGATGGATCATAAGATGATGATGGATCAAAGGATGATGTTGATACAGCTGATGGTATTGGAACTGGATGCTAAAATAGAAGGAATTGTATGAAAGATGACTGATTCATTTGTTAAAAATGAACGTACAGTTCTTTTTTTAGTTACATCATTTGATGATGATGTAGTTTTAGGTTTTTGTTGTCTCTTAAAACGAGAACGTCGATTTTGAAACCAGATCTAACAATAAACGATAATAATATTTCCGAGATTGTTTCAGAAAAATGAAAATTTTACTGAAATTTTTTCATGTCGAACATCGAGAAGGTCAGCAAGATTATCAACAGTTGTTACTTCTGGATAATGATTCTTTTGAAAAGCTGCTTCCAATATTTGTAACTATTTCAATGCATACAAAAAAGATTAAGACTCTATCATCTAACATTATAACAACTCTTACTTGTTGATATGTATATTGAATTCTAGTACGTTTTACATACGGTAAACGTGGTTTATTTTCATCTAATGGTTTTTCCGACATTCTTGAATCTGATTCTGAAAAAGAAATAGTTAAGAGAATATAAAATCAACAATATAGTTATTCGTATAAATACCTTTGTTATCTAATTCTTGTCGTATTGATATCGGTTGTGGTGAAGAAATACGTACAGGTGTTGGTGGCGTAGGTGTTCGAGATAGATAACCAGAATCAGCAAATCGACTATTATTATTGCTGTTATGATAGAAATCAAATGACGGATGTGGTGATGTATTAACTAATCAAAAACAAAAAAAATTATTAAAAAAAATTTTCATTTTCTTTTGAAACAAACCTGAAATATTTGTATTGAATGAAACACTAACATTAGGTTGATATCCATGAGGATCATAGTACCAATATGGATTAACCGATGGTGGACCTGAGTAACCAGACATATGTTGTTGTTGAATATGTCTATAAAAGAAGAAATAGTTAAGTTAGGAAATGAACGTGAAAATTGAACTAATTGATCTTATATATCTGTTTGAGAATTTTTTTTCGTTTCTCTTATTTGAATTCGACCAACAAAAAATTTCTTTCTTTCAATTAAGAAAACATTAACCAATAGTTCGTCATTTTTTTCTTTTCGTCAATTTCTTTGCCTATTTTGAATATCATCAACAGCTTGAAAAGAAAAAAAAAGATACATCCTTTAACGATGACAAAATTATGTGCTGGTGCAACACAAACTGGAACAAATCACACATTTGAGAGCATACATTAGATCATTGAAGAAAATGTGTTAAAAACATTTTTTTTTTTAAATAAAAGTTTTTTTTTTCAAATACTAAAGTAACAATCGTTCTGCAAAATCTATAGTTCGGTTTATTCACATGAAATTTATCTATTCGAATCAATACATGATTAATGATCATTAAATGAATAGATAATCCTCTTTTCATTTCTTCTAATGATGATTCAATTAAAATTATTGTCAACGAGTACATGAGCGTTACAAAAAAATTGTTAGGTTTCTAAATCATGCTGATGTCAAACTAATCTTCTATATTGTATGAACAAGTACTTCACGTTAAGATTTTGAGTCTTGTTAACTTTGAAAACAAATAGAAAACATCAAAAATGAATAATAACAAATGTTTTGTAATTTGATTGCTGAATAATCTTATCAGAAAATATTTCCAGATGTCAAATCATTTTTCGAACAAAATGATCAAGTAATATAGAAGTCTAGGATCACGTGAAAAATCGATTCTTGAGTTCGATTTTGGTACATATAAAGTTTGCAATAGGATTAGTTCATTGTGCTAGTTATAACTTTTCTTGTTATCTCCTATCGTGAAATATTCAAAATTCATTTATGTTTAAAAGTAACATATGGCTCGAGAAGGCAAATAGTAGAACATCTAACACTTACACAATCAACTAATCTCATTAAGAACTTTGTTCATGCAAAATTTGAGGTCAAAAGCCGTTTTTTTTTTTTAAGTGGTCACAACTTGTTGATAGTTTAATTTCAACAACTTAAGAATGAATGTCAAGGAAATCAAATCATTCTAGACTTTTGCTGTTTAGTTATTCTTATTAAAAAACACCGTTTGGATTGAAAGGCGATTTGACAACTAGAGAAGTTCTCTCTTGAGAACTAAGAATTAATTGCTTTTTTTCAAAAGTCACGTAACCAAGTATTTTTTTTTTGTGCAATTTTCAATAAACGATTTTTATTTTCGGAAACCTTAGCACTACAAACAAGAAAAACTTGAAAACAAATTGACACTTTTTTTTCATATTATCAAATATGTCACATCTAACTCTATTACACTTCATTAGTCAACGATGAACAATCAGTCTAGTTGTTCGTTAATTGAATATTTATCTGTTCTACATTGACATAATAGCTTTTTTGTCAACAAGCTGTGTACAGATATAGAAATTTCCTTTTATTGACGATTTTCATTAAGTTCAAATAGGAATACAATCTGGTGTATATATAGATGTATTTCGTCTTCATTTGTTCCTCTTTCTAATGAGTGTGAATCGCCGTTTGATGCTGTGTATTATGTCAATGATTGAAATACTCATTGTATATGTCGATGACTTTCTCAGCTTTATATATATATTTATGTGAAAGAAGCATAGATCACGATCATGATATAACTTTGTTGAAAAGCAGCTATATTTTGAAAAGAAAAATAATGCATCACGCTAATAATGTTTCATGTTTTTCAACATTTGTAAACAAAAATTACTATGCAAAAGATATATGTCTTTATTAAAATATGCATGCATAGAAAACATTAGTGAAAATTTTACTTTGATGTATCATTAATCAGTCTATGAAAATGGATTGAATATGTTGTTACTGTCTTCATGATAATGAATAAAGGAAAAAAAAAGAGAATATTTTATTGAGAATATTTAAAACTTTTAAAAGATATATGTATATATGAGTCATATTCATAATATTAGTCCATATTATGAAAATTCTTTAGGTTATAAAAAGTTTACTGAATTGTATCAGAACGGAATAGACGCAGGTGATTGTTAATCATATACTCTATGAAAGTAGGAAACTGTTTCTTTGATGAATTCTTCTCAAGAGCAAAGGCATATATGAAAAAAAAAAAACAACCTTTTATTCATTATAATTGATGGAATCTCTTCATTTATATCTGATAGTGACTGTGAATGTCCTATATTTACGAAATTATAAGTAAAAATAAATATATCTTTATAAGTTATCGAGTATTTTAAACTCATAATGGAAAATATCATTTTATAGAGCACTTTTATGAATCACTAGACGAAGTATTGTGATGTAATCATGTTAAATACGATAGAGAATCAAGATCATGAGATAAGTAATTTGTGCTGTGATGAATTTTCGAACGATATGCTTTTCTGCAACAGTCATATTGTAGATTCGAGATAACTGGTTTTGATTTTTACACGTTATAAATACGACTTTTGATTGTTTTTAATGTAATACAAAGCACGTTTATCGTAACTCGTAACTTTTCAGAGGAATACATCAAAAGTTCGAAATTGAAAACTAAGATCGTATTTGTTGAAATGTTTTACGGATTGTATTGTTTATCAGCTGAGAACAATAATGTTTATTTGTTCTATCACTTTTGTTTTAGCCGATGTTCATTATCGTTTATGTTAGAGAAAAGATATATTATTTAAAAATTTGTTAACAGAAAAGAGTGATCATATTGTTTTCCGACTTTATAAAATATGGTTTTACAGATCGTTCCAGTTAAAATATATGTTGCTAATATTCAAGAAATAAATTGTCATTTGTGAAAAGAAAAATGTTTTTACACATGCTGATTATATGAAAGTTTCTTTGATAAGAATAAAAACATACGATAGCGAATAAAAGAATAAACTGAATATCGCAATAATTTAGATAAAGAATCTCACGAAGGAAGTTCTGCAACTGTCTAGTCGTTTCTGAGTCTAGACTGTGTACATTATTGAGACAAAAATGAGCTATAAATACTCCGAAAAAAGTTCATGTACTTGGTTTATTACTATAAAGATATTGCAATTTTGCGAAATATTTTTGATTTACTAGAACATCAAATGAGCTGATTTATATGAGTGATGTAAACGTTACATTATTACTATAGTTGTATCTGAGAATAGAAACGACAAAAAGACTTGACATTTTCACAAAAAATTACGCTCGGTTTACTGTCTTTTTGAAAAGTTTCAAGTCTAAATTCGAAAATCCGTTTTTCTATTATCACGTCATTTATTTAAAAAAATATCTCTACATCATTATTAATCATGTTGATATCATTACAAATCATCGGCAAGTTATTGCAATATTTTGGACATCGAAAAACTTTTTTGTTTGACAAATGTATACAACGAAACTGTCAGTGTATTTTTTTTTGAAGAAGACCATTTATCGGTCTTGTGTTAGAATTATTGTTATCCTATTGAATAATTCATTGTATTTAAACGATAAATGAGAAATCAATGACTCTAACATAAACCTGCTTTACATCGATTTTCACAACTTGACGATCGATCCATTTGTCATCTACCTAATGCAAAGCAAAGTACGGCACTTATATTGACCTGTACGAGTTTTTTTCATACTATTGTACTTCCTTGACGTAAACACCAATAGTTCGTATTTCGTATCACGATGTTCTTAAGAATTCAAAGTTAGAAAATATTCATACCAATGCAAGAAGAAACTAACAAAATTTTAGCCGCATCATACATTTTCTGATCTGTATTAAGAAGGTTTATACTTTCAGGAAGAAATTGGCAGAAAACGTAAATTTTTGTGAATCTATTTTTTTTTTGTATCAAATTTTGTAGATAATTAACACGAAGATAACGACAATAGCTAAATTAGGTAGAGAATCAAACGATCAATCCTTAATATTTATCAGAAACATGTTGATAGAGTTCTCATGATAGAAAGTTTTGCCATGGTTACTTATCAGTTTCTTTCGAGTTTCGATTCACTTAGTATTCTAGACGTAACTTCACTGATTAGAGCTACGAAAAAAGAAGTTCATGCCCGTTAATTGCAAATAACTTTTCAAGAAAAGTGATTTTCACTTAATCGTACTAGCTAGAAACAATTATTCGTTATTTACGAGATATTGGTTTCTCAATATTCCATATTCAAGGTTTTGAACTGCATTTTGCAGTCGAGAAAAATTCTACTACTCACTAGTTGGTTTAATCCATTTACAAAGTATTGGGTAATATTTTGTTGTGTTCTCGTTTTAATCAAAAACAAAAAGAAATACTGGTATCGACAAGAATTTATTTAATTAAAATAGAAAAATATAATTTTTTATTCATACATGACATTTTAAGTTTAAAAATTATATTTATTCAAATTTTTGCGGTCCACTAAAAACAAAAAACAGGTCTATTTTTAGTTTTTATGGACGATAGAGATTGTATGTGTTCGGTTTACTACATGGATAGACTTTGACTCTCTCTCATTTTTATTTCTTACTTATGCTCGTGTCATAACTTAATTGACAACAAGCATTTTAACACGTGACTTAGTAATGTAAAATGCGGTGAGAGATATGAATCAGCGTCGAATGCATTCATTGAAACATGTCTTGATTTTACGAAAACACCAGAAAAATTAATTGCTATAAAAATATATTAAATCAGTCTGCGTATTCTCGTATATATTTTATATTTATGAAAAATGAGTTTCACACGAACGATGTCACTACATTATAGTAACGTTTTGATAACAGCAAGCTAGTAAGTGCAATAGTTCTGTTTACGAACAATTCAAATACAAGATGTCGCTAAGATTAACTTCTTCATTTTAGCTGATCAGAAAAATTTAATATTATAAATAACCGATATCAGTGATATATATGATATGCTGTGAATATCAACTTTTCAAAATGAGTTTTATGTTAAGTGTAGTAGTAAGTTTCCAGTTCGATTTGTATTTGATGATTCATGCATGTAGGATCACTCAGTATTTGAGTCAATCAAAGGAAAGACAAGCAAAAGAAAAGAGAAGCAGAGCGAGAGAACTGCAATATATGGTAACACAAATGCACGTGACAATAAACAGAGAGAAAATGATGTACTCGTTCACTTCTTACATAGTAGAGAGTGCATATTGACAGACGAAATTCAAAATAAACGTTTTATTATTATATTAAGATTTGCAATGTCGTTAACAGTTGAATTACCAGATACAAAAATCAGAACAGAGGGTGTTGAACAAAGGTAGATTATATTTTTTCTTTTGTATTTAACTAATTTTTCTGTTTATTTCAGTACACCTCAATCAGATATTCCATCATTGGTTCCAGTTACACCCGCTGCACGAGAAATATTCGAATCTGTAAATATATAAAACTAACATTTTCTTTTTTGATTGAATATTGTTGTTGTTTTTTTTTGATTGTTTTAGTATAGAAATGTTGTTGAATCCAAGGCACAAAAATGTAAGTGTAAACATAAAGATGAATAAAAGAATCAAACTATTGATCGTTGTTTTTTATTTTATTTTTTTGAGATTATCCAATGCCGGCTACATTTCAAATGGTTCCTTTGAGAATGTCTATTATGGATATTGATGGAGTTAAAACATATTTTTTCAAAGTAATTTTAAAATATTTTTTCACTTTAATTATTTATTCCATATATAGGTTCGTGTTCCGAATAATAAATTTGTTAATGTACGGGTTAGATTGTCTGGTAAAGCTGAATCTCGAGACAATCAAGTGGCTGTTGAGTCACGTGCTAATGGTAATGTCGATGAAAATATTACTAAAATGTTCTAGAAAACAAACATTTTATTAATATAAACACAAAGAAAGATATATATAGTTAGGGTGAATTATTTTCTTTTTTTTTTCAACTTTTGTCTTCGTTTTATTTATGCAGTGTCATCTTTTCCTGTTATTCATTTTGATTTTTGTCATGTGTTTGTAGATTAACAGAAAATCAAGCATTAAAATAAAAATAAGGCATATATTTTATTCAATCAGTGTATAGATTGTAATAATAAATATTGTCCTTATAGATTATATTGAATAACTATGCAAGATAATATATGAAAAAAAGAAGAATCTTGAAGATATAAAATGTAGATCTGTTCTTCAATCATATGCAAGAATACTACTGGGGTAATAGTGTATTGGATAACTAAATCTTGGGAATATCGCAGATTGACACCTTGGGACTATTAATCATATTCAAGCTATATGTTTGTCGTTCTTGTTCATTTACTTACTGTTTTTTTTAGTATATTCCCATTAGAATCAAATGTCAGATTTGATATTTCATCAAAAACAGTGGATCTGTATTGAGAATCTTCGAAAAGATTTTTTAAATTATAACACATAAACATTAACTTTGTATCAAATGAACGTTTATTTACTATAGATATCGAAAAAAACAATCTGATTTTTTATATGAACAGTGTGAGTTTCCACAGGGATATATAGAATTAGTCTTGTCGCGAAAAGACCAAAATTATCGGATTGATCTATGTCTGTCAGAAACGAATCAAAACTAAAAAATGTGACTTTTCTCAGGTTGAAGCGATTATATTTCTTTATCTTGTCATTTCTGTGCTTGGACTAAACGCTGCATAGATTATATTCCATTGTATTTGTGTCGTCTTCCTTCTGCTCGTGTTTTTGAATAAGAAGCATATTGGCATATTTTAGCAGATTTGAATTAATTCTTTTCTCTATATATTATGAGTCCTTAATTTGATGTTCCTCGGTGAATTTTGGTTCTAGACCTCCAGCTTAACGAGGGAATCTGTTCAGCTGTCCCTCTTCTCATTTCAATGATTTTTTGTTTATAGATATTGCATAGTGTTCTAATACAAACTCTGAAAGAATTTGGATTTCTATTCAAACTTAACTTAGCTATCGAGTTTTTAATATGCCTACTTTCTGCACTTCAGATTTTCGAAAAACTTATATTTTCGAATTTTGATCTGAAATTTTGCGCATATAGATTGGTGAATTAGAGTAAATTCTTTGACTAGATTCAGGATTGTTGAACAAAGTCTCTTCGAGATATTCAGCTTCCAAAAAAATGCGTGTTATATACATTATTCAAAAAAAGAATTTTGAAATAGATTTTTATATTCTTTTTGTATTGTTCAGGAAAAAAGTTCTTTATTCAGACGTTTTAGTGATGATCAGACTATCTTCTTCAGTGTAGAAATTACAGCAAAAACAACAGACAAATATGCATAGTTTTTTTCTTTTCTTTCTCATACTAGTAGGAAAACAAAATAGTAAACTGGACAAGAAATGACAACTAGTCATCATCTTCTTTTTCTTTACCACTATTAGAAAGAAAAGAAAAAGGTCTATTTATAGTTATACTTGTTGTTGTTGTGGTAATCTCTACATTGGATAAGATAATCCGATGATGAAACAAACGTCTGGATAAAGCTGTTTTTCTTGGCTGTCGATTAGAAATGAAAACAAATCTTTATCTTGTCACGAACTTTATTAAACATAAGTGTCTATAATAATCATATGTCTGATGTAGCAAAAAATTGAAATGTGATTGTCAGTGAGCATTAATTTAAAAGGTTTTTTCAATCAAAGTTTTTCATTTTATTCAAATGTGTTGTCCTTGATGAAATTGTTTGTTTATTCTAATAAATACTGTTTCATTTGCTGAATTATAACTTAATCGATACGAAATTAAATATCTTTTTACTACTGGTATATGTTAACTAATATGCGATAGAACAGTTTTTGCAACAAAGTGTTACTCTATTTAACGGCATAATTGGATCCTAAATTAATTAAACATTGTTTTTGGTTGAAACAGGTAATATTTGAGCAAGAAATTTTGTGCTATGCATATTCTTTTTGAGTCCATGTGCAAAGAGAAAAGTTAAAAATAAAGCATCTCTAAAAACTGTTCTTATTTACATAGCCAGTATTTATCGATTATTTTGGAACATATATAAAATTATAGTGATTTGAAAAATGAAATTTTATACAACGCAAACCTTTATAGAAACATCATTCATCATCTCCAGAAAACATCTATGACTTCAATTCTTATACATTATTTGCTTGAATAATATTACTAACATATTTACTCTCGTTGAGACAAAGTAATGGTTTGCTATAAAAATCAAGATTAAATTAAACTTCGTATAGATGAATAATTGAAAATAGAACTCTCCAGGCTATAAAATTCATCAGAAAACATGTTTTTTTATATTCTTTTCTTTTCTAATATGAAAAATCTCATAGAAATTAAAAATTAATGTTGCTTAAAGTTTAATTTGCTAGAAATTTTTTACAAGTATCTGATTTCTGCCTAGTTTCCTTTCTCAAATTATCTATGAAAAAAAAAAGATTTAGTCTACAAAATTTTTAGTGGAGACATTACTTTTTTTCAATCAAAAGAAAACTTTTGATAACTTTGGAATCTGATCATGTGATTTAATAGAGTTTGACAGTCTTGACAAAGACTTTTCCAGTACATGTTATTTTTGAATATAGATTAAGAGTAGCAAAAAAAAGTAGAATTAAAACAACTATTTAACAACGTCAGTCTACAACTCATACTTGTGAACATAAAACCGAGGTGCCTCGAGGCCGTCAAGATTGAAGAGTCGATCCTTGTTGCGAGGGATAGATGGAGAAAAAAAGCGACGAAAATCATTCAGTTTTGCTGGGGAACAACGAAAATTTTTCAAGATTGTAGGTCATCCGTAAACATAAGATGCATCGACGTACATAGATATAGTAAAGCATCAAATGAAAAATTCATTTTCACATTGATTAGATATTGCGTTATTTTTCTGTATTGATTTTGTCTATGTGCATTAGATGGTAAAACAACATGCATTTGACACAGATATCAATATCATTAATATTTTTCAATCATATAAAGTGAATATAATGATGAAATCGATGATGTAAGCGTAAATCGATCGTTCAAAAAGAAGCTGAGTTCACTTATTTACACACTAGATGGACTCTTCATTTTTGAATTATAAATAGTATTAATAAAACAATGATTGAAAATTTTTTTTTTTACAAAAAAGCTAAGCCTTCATATTTACTAAATATCTAGATAGATACATTTCGAACATGTTTATATTTATATAATTTAATATGTTGTCCACAAAATGAAGAACTATACTAAAACGATTGATTTCTTTTATTTAGTTTTTCTGACTTCATGTGTTATAATCTCTAACGGTATACAAGTTACCAGTAATGTATTGCGTGGGTTATAAGAATAATCATTTCCTGAAAAAAGTAAAAGTTTCCTTGTTCTTAAGATTCTCAAGTTTTTTGGTAGCAATTATCTTAGTAGCACCTTATAATCGTATGTAAGAAATAAAAAGAAAGACATTCATTTATGATATTTATTTTGATATATAAATTCCCGCTTAGTATTATATTTCCTATTCAGTATAAGAAATACATAGGTGTATAGATACATCAGAGATCTCAATAGGTTGAAATGTTTTTTAATAGAAGAACCATTGTACAGGACTAGGCAGATTCGATATTACGATGGACACCCATTGATCCAGTCTTAAGTAAAATATCAAATTTCCAATATATGTTATGCATTTCAACAAAATTTGAAAACAATAAGTTTTATAGTCAACAAAATGTTCTTGTCTAGCTTTTCTCGTTTATCGGCAAATACTTTTTTCTAAAACTACTTCTACTGCACTGTCTCAGTCATCAATTTTTGTTAACACTTGGTCTTCTATTATTGTTGCTTGTTCATCATCACATAGGAAAGCGTATAAACATCCGAACGGATCTAATTTCTTTTGAAACAACCATCATCGACAAAGACTGTTATTAAAAATGAAAAAGCAAACACATTTTTATGTTGAAAAGTTTTAAATCAGAGAATAATAGCGGATTCGAGATAATTGAAAGTTTTGAAAGTCATCAAATATGTTACCAAATATATGTTCATGCATCAATTACTAGTACCCAAAATATACTTGTTCATTCATATGTTATATATTTGTCGAATACAATTAAATGAGTGAGCCATGGATGAGCCATTTGTTAAGAAACAATCATGTGTTTGGCTGGCTTTCGTAGGCTCAGTGCACCGCATTGTGATCTCTGTTAGATATACTAGTGATTGATTTGTTTTATTCTAATTAAGTTTTTCTGATTATTGTTGCGTCCAAGGGCAAGATACAAAGATGCCAGTTATTTATATTTTTGCTAAACAAACCAATTGCTTCACGACCAAAACTTGAACAAAAATTAACTATAAGGGAACAATAAGTTCGGATGACAGACATTAATAATAGTTCGAATCAATGATCTGACAATATCAGAGCCAGTCCCTCCAAACAAAACCTGTTCATACGTACATTATCATCTAAAACTTTATTGAAGTAAGATATCGGCTTATTCTTAATTTCCATAATTTCGAATTTTTAATGTTTAGCAAAGAACAAGATCTATATAGTTCAGCACTTGGTCAAGCTTAACAACAATAATTACGAACGATCGTCCAACGACAACCATTATAAGTTATTCAATGAACTATGCGTAACTTTGGTAGCTCGTGTTATTGGTAACAAATTCAACAACAAGCCATAAGAATTTTCTTAAAATCTAATTGATCTAAGAGTTGAGTTTTTATTAATATATATTTGCAGTCAAATAGAATAATGCTTATGAATCACAACCTCAATCAGTGTTCAGTTATTTTATCACCGGAGGAGATTATAATCTACAAGTTCGACAAAGAACTGTTCGTTCTATGTCAAGACCAGTAAAAACTAGTTATGGTCAATAACAATCAGATATTACAGCAATCAACAATATGAAACTCTACGAAACAATTTAGCTTCTACGTTCTATCCATGTGCAACGACCAGTACAAAAAACTCGATAATTTTTCATATAATAGCTAGTATATAAAATCTATACAACTCAAAACGATTTGTCCTTGTTTTCAATTTTTAAAATCATCTAAACATAATTTATCAGTTCTTTCGTGATTTTATTATTCTGTAGTTTGTTTTTATAGCAAAGCATTATCGAGAAAAAAAACAAAAGCCTAAACGAAAACTAAATTAAAACATATTTACAAAAGTAAAAGGAAAACGAAACGAGAATAACTAGATGATAGAAAATGTTTAAAATGTTTACAGTTTGAAATATTAATCTCAAAAATGTTTTTCAAGTTTTGTTTTTTGTAGGAAATCGATTCCTAAACGATGAAGTGTTTGTTGAAGATTTTCACCTTAAAAATAAGTATTTATATATAAATAATATTCATTCTGATTTAACTAACAATACCTGAATTCATATAAAATGGTGTAACATTTTCTTCTACTAAAACATCTTCTTCTGGACCATTTTGATTAATATGAATAGGTGATATTGATGATGCTTGACGAATTCCTACGTCTTCTTGTTCTTGTTCGATATGTTTAAGATTTTCTTCTATTTGTTCGTTATGTTCAATATTATTTTGTTCTTGTTGATATTCATCTGTTGTTGGTAATTCATAATCTGTACCTGTAGCAACATTATTTGTCATTTCTGAAATAAAAGATCCTGGTGGATTCTAAAATAATTACAATCAAATGAAGAAAATTTATTAATTAAAAAAAAATATCATTTTACCAGATCTTCAATAACACCAACAGCTCGAGCTTGTTGTATGACAAGATTAGGATCATATAATTGTGAGCCATAACGTTTTAAATATGTTTGTGGATCTTCACGAGTAACATTTTGTTTTTGAAAATTTCGAACAATTTTTGCTTGAACTGGTTCATAACTGAAAAGAATAAAAAGAAATATAAATTTTTTCGAAAAAATAAAAAAAAACAAACGTTATGATGACATTTTTTGGTTGTGAATGTTCTTTAGAAGTTTTTGGTACACGTTGTACAATAACTTTACGTTTTTGATTCAGTATTTCATAGGGTAACCAACGTTCAATAATAATATCACGTGGTTTCGGTGGTAATGGTGGTAAACGTTCAATAATAACAGCTCGTGGTGGAGCTGGCTCAGGTGGTAATTGTCTACAAATTGTTTATAACGAATAAAAAAAACATCTAGAAAGATTTGAAATTTTCTATTTACCGTGTTATCACTTTTGTTGCAAGTGTTGATGGAAGTGGTGGTGGTTTCTCCCGAATAATAAGTGGTGGTGGCGTTTTTGGTGGACTTGGACGTTCTAAAAGAAAAAAAATGAAATGACAAAAAAAAGTAAAATAAACAAAAGTAAATAAATCAATTTACGTTTAATAACCAGTGGTGGAAGTGGCGAAGGTTGTGGAGCACGTACCTAAAAGCAAATCAGATTGAGTGTTTGGAATGAATTCGTATTTTTTTTGTAATCTACTTCTTTGATAATAAGTGGACCAGCATTAGGAATTGGTGGTGGTTGTAAAAATCGAACAATTATGTTTTGTTTATAAGTTACAGAATGAGAACCTTTACGTTGAATTATTTGAGGATTTGGATCATAAAATATTTTCCCAGGTGAAGCTAAAATTTTTTGTTATTGATAAAACAAAAAATAAAATATGATTATTTACTTGAATTATCTTGATCAGGATCATTATTATTTAATGGCAATGAATTAAAATCTTCTTTATCAGTAATTACATTCATTGTTGATGTATTTATTATTTCATTAGGAATTGGTTCAGATGCTAACGGAATTTCATTTGAATTAACGGCATCAATTGGTATTGTATCTAATTGTGGTGTTGCACGAATATTTAAACCAAGATTTGGCACATTTGTTGTCATTGGTGGTGGAATGGTCTCATATTCTTGTTGTTGTTGTTGATGACGATGATTTTCAAGTAACATATCGGGATTACTTGATGAAACATTTGATGTTCTATGTATTGATTTATTACTTAATATTGGATGTGTTGTATTTAATTGTTTCGTACCATTATAATTTTCAAAAGGTGATATAAAACTTTGTGGCATTGTATTATATAAACCTGTACTATAATAATCAAAATTACTTGATTGTGTCATTGGCAAAGTAGATGGCATTGAATTTAAATCAATATTTTGATCAAAATTTGTTAATTCACCCATAGTGAACATATCTGGTGTTGGATAAAAAAGTGGTGTTTGATCTTGATTAAAAAATTTATTTTCAGGTGTTAATAATTGAGATTCAAATGCCGTTATTGTTTCGGTTGGTGTTGATATATAATTACCAGCTGTACCTAACACTCCACCACTAGCAGCTTTATTAACTTCATCAAGAATACGTTGAATTGTGGGATCTTCCAATATAGCCATGAGGAAAGAAAACAATAAGATCAATTCGATTTTGATAAGATAGATGAAATGATGACGCGTCTATTAACCTTTACTATTTATATTACTTCTTACAATGTTTCTCGCACGCAAAAAGAATAGATATGAATATGTATGTATGGACGTGAGCATAACGTTCGTCAGTCTAACAACTAATCATTGAACCGTGGTAGATATGTGTTTGATAGGAGATGACAAACTCTTTCTTTCGCGGGTCATTAATAGTTAATAGTTCACGCCTATTGAGCGTCAACATTAAATTTTTGATAATAAACGAAGGTAGCAAATGTGTCTCTTATTTTTTTTCTTTGAAATTAAACTAATGATAACTAATATTAACTAAATTTTAGTTTTATTCATCAATAGATAGTTTTGCCAACTTCAATTCATCATTTAGTTTTTTTAAGAATACTTTGCATGCATTTATAATAGATTTCTTTATACATCGAAAGACTATTGAGCATAATTATTTGAAAGGAAAAAAACAGATAAAATAAATATGATACTTTAGTCACACTTGTTCGTTTATTTTTTTTCTTTTCAATTTTATTGATTATTCAGAAGATTTAAGAGACACGATAATGATATATTTTATATTCAATCAACATAGACTACAGGTAATGTCTGTAGAAAGTGAAAATATGTTTATGTTTCTTTTGATTACATTCGAAATGAATCGATAAGTACGATCTTTCATTAACTCTTTGTGACACATAACAAATAGATCATCATAAATGATAGCCTATGTCTTTTTTTTTATGTTGACAATGATTTATATATCATTACTTGGATAGTTCCCAATCATTTGAGTCGCATTCGATGATTGCTCACTTGATTCCATTTCATTTTTTTTTTATTTTAAATTCAAAATAACATATTGTAATGCATTTATACCTAATAATCAAGGTTTATAATTAGCAATTCAATATTACAAAAGCGTAAAAATGAAATATGTTAAGAAATAAAAACAGACAATTTAATTGTTTTTATTAAATATATATCATGCCTGTTAGCTATAAATGTTGATAACTTTTGTATTTCTTCTTTATTCTAAAAGTTATTCTCTTCTATTGATAATGTTAGAAATGAATTAAGAAATCTTCAAATTGGACCGATTATGAACGAGTAGACCTTACAGTAATTTCATTTCAAAATCAGTACATATAGATTTTTTATTTATAATATTCTTTTTAACAATTATTTCAATTAATATTCGAATGAGCCTATTTCATAACATAATAATGCAATATTTATTATCATATCACATTATACATAGTTACAACTGTATTCAAACATTAATATCATACTACAATTATACATCTGATATGACGAGACGATGTACCATGTTAGTCTTATGTCTTAAAGAAAAAAAAAGACGAAGACTCGATGATGTTCATCATAATTCGAAATAAATGTTCGATAGCGATATCTAACATATCATGTATATAATATGATGCATTCATATGATAATGACTATTTGATTATGATAGAATTCATCATATGTAAATTTCATTTCATAAAATATGTAAAAAAAGATAAATTTTTTTTAATGAATAAAAATCAAATTCAATTAATAAAAAGAAATGGAAAATTTCTTTTTTTCCAATTGGATCGATGTATTATCTATTTGTTAGCTACTATAGAAAGAAATAATAAAAGTTATCTATTTCTCTATGTGTACTTTTGTCTATAAACTAAACGAACATTTAAAAAACAATGTGTAAGTAAAGGTTTAAATTTTTGTTAAAATTTTTTCATTAATTATTTGATTGATTGTAACGAATATTTCATGTTAGATTTGTCAAAGATAATCATGATACATCTTATTCTTGTCAAGAAAGGAAATATTCATAGGTGAAAAGATAAAGACACGACAACAGGCAATTATAAATCAAATAGATAAGACATCATTCATTGAAATAAATAATGATGTATTACTTAGATTCATATCATCATTTAAATATTCGAATTCAAATTTTAAAATTAATATTTGCTGTTTAATTAAGTCTCGTTGTTTCATTTTCTAAAAGACTTTGTCTGAATACTAAATTTAAGAAACTATATAGATAAGATTCGGTGATATCTCCAATTACTTTACTGAAATCTAATAGATTCATATTTAATGATGGTTTATTTCGAAATTTAACAATTCAGTTTTCTTTGATTTCGAACAATTTAAAGAACAGATGCGAAATAAATAAAATCTATCAAAATAAATACAATATAATCTAAGTATTTATTTTTAGATTCATGTATTCGTACAGAACAATTACATACGTTGACTCTGACCTGTTTCATCTTGCTTGGTTATTATTTTCGTCAAAGTTTCCAGAATAGTAACATCATTGCTTATAATATTCCTGATCCAGGTAAGAGTTTATTCTTTTTTTGCACTATTTTTATTTAAAAACAAATTTGCTTTTTGTTTTTGCTAGAATGTACTGGTATTTTTAATCTTTGTACTGACTTTGACAAAGAACGACTTGGTCGTCAAGCTATTCGTGCAATACATGAACAAATGGATGATGATAAAGATGGATTAATTCAATCATCTGAAAGTACTGATGTAAGTTTTTAGATTTTTAATTATTGCATGAATTATTTTTTTAAATTATAGTTTATTAACGAAGAACTTGAATCTATGACAGATGCTGCACGACATGAACGATTTCAAAATGATAATGTGCACATTACATATGATGATTTATGGATACAATGGCAAAATAATCCAGGTTTTTTTCTAATTCAAATAAAATAGTTATCAAAAAAAATTTGTTTGTTTGTCTATAGTTCATAATTGGACAACAGATCATGTAATCGATTGGCTTGTTAGTTGTGTTCATTTACCACAATATATTGAAAATTTTCGTCGTAATCAATTTGATGGTCGAATGATACCAAGGTAAATAGAAAGAAAAAAACTTATAATTATTTTCTTATATGGATTTTTTTACATATTCTAATTATTTTAGATTGGCAGCTAATGAAAAACAATACATACAATCGATTATGCACATTCGAGATGTACGCGATAAACGACGACTTATTATTAAAGCAACTGATATCGTTCTATTCGGACCTCTACAACGTTGGTATTTTAATTTTATTAGGAAGTTTTATAATAAATTCTACATTCTTCATCAATAGAAGCAATAAAGCTAAATGAGTTTTAAAAAGAGAAGATCTTTCTTCTGGGTTTATTATATGAACTTCTTCTATATAAAAAATGACTAGAAAAAGAACCTGTCCTTGGTCTTCAATCATAAGAAGATTTCATTTCAAAATAATGAAAGTTATAGGATATGTTTGAAAACATGTAATCTAATCTCTGCGTCAGAATTCAAGAGAGATGAGTGCAAGTTCAATAATTTGATGAAGGCAACAGCTAGCGACCTATGACTTTTAGCAATTGAAAAGGAGAGCATGGCACACTCTTTTGTTTCACTCTATGGAAGACAAAATTATTTTAAAATTCATAGTTTTCGCAAAATATTTTTTAAAATGCTTGGAAACGGTATTCTGTTCCGTTAGTTTTGATTTAACATGTGCTTTAGATAGAGGAAATCCAAATCTTATACTTCAAAAAATGATTCAGGTGATTATCTTCTCATATCTCAATGTTGAGTAAACCAAATTGCGTATTCATTTGATCAAATTATATAGAATTTTTCTTGATTTTTAGCTAATTTTCTGAATTTTTATTAAAATTTTCTTGAAATAGAACACCGTTTTCATGCGTTTTTTAAAATGTTTTGCGAAAACAATACTTTTAAAATAATTTTGTTTTATATAGTATCAGACAAAAGAATGTCCAGTCTTCTCTTTTTTCAATATGCTAACAATCGCAGATCGAAAGCCATTGCCATTATCGAGTGATCGAGTTTATGTACACCTCTCTTTAATAGAAGCTATTATTCAGTAGACAATTAAAAATCATTATCCTATTTGTTTTTTAAGACATGATTATCAATGAAATTTTAAAGCTTTCTTCAGGAACAGAGAACTCGAAATGTTTATTATTCATCTTTCTTTATGCATTGAAATACTACGTAATCAACCTAGGCAATTTTCTAAAATTCATCAAAACGAAATACATGTTATTGAAATAACTTGCAATGTAAAAGTTATTGGTGAAATCTCAATCAATGGTTTTCAACTCGGAAGCATGGTAGAGAGCTAAATCTTTTTCATACTGCAAGAGCAAAGTCAGAGCTTTAAGAAACATAGGAAAAATACTTTGGGGTTAACATTAAATGAGATAAAAGCTTGATATCAAATGCCATCAGAAAAAGGTTCTTACAACTTCTCTCTTCTTCAAATGTATCTCTATTATTTATCAACAAGATAGTGTTGTACCACATACAGATCAGGACTTATTGGAATGATGTGAAGGGAATTTCATGCATTTCATAAGGAATCACAGATGACCAGTACCCATCTCAATGTTTTGAATTATTATGTGTGAGATGCTATCACCAATAATATGTGATGGAATAAAGTTAAGAATTCTGATGTATGAATTGATATAATAAGAGAAGGAATTCGTCATGTACCAAGAAAAAAAACAATCTTGTTCGCCACGTGAAAAATTAGTCACACAGAATTTTTCCTATTTTGTATACTAAAGGTACATATATAAAGTAAGCTTTGAATTGTAGAACTTGTCACACTGCATCTTTAGTATACTTTTTTTTTAACGGAACCTATTAAATCATGAAAAATTCAAATGTAAAACATGGCCATTCATTATGGCTTATCTGTTAAAAGGAAGAAAATATTTTACAAGAGCTCTTTTGGCAATCTTATACATCCAACTTTTTCTCTCACTCAAAGTGAATTCCAGAAATTTTTTGCTATGTTTTTGAAGTTCAGACTTTAGTCTTTCAATAGGAAAAAAATGAATACTCTACGATGTTCTTAAACGGAGATTTCAGCAAATACTTTTACATGGTAAGATATTCCCATCGTGACTATGTTCAATATTTTGTTGTAATCAATTTTTTTCGATATAGAAACACATAATCTAATGAAAGATATGATTCTTATATCGGCATTATTTGTTTCTATTGGTGTATGTATATATGCATTTGTTCGTCAACATCAAACACAAGAAAATATGAATGTAATGTTACAGGAACTTGAAACATTACAAAAAGCTGAAGGCAATTTATTAGCCGTAACTGAAAAGTAATAAATATATGTTTTTAATTCTATTTATAATGAAATAAATTTTATTGAATTCAATTTTAAGAAAGCGCACCGAAGAAGATGAAATAAAAGAAAATAAAATTCAAAAAATGAATCAAAATTTACTACATAAATGGTTTATTGAAATACAACGAATTAAAGTTCACAAAAGAAAAATAATTAATTAAATATAATTAAATTTTTCTTTTTGATTTCATTTAAGGAACAAGCAGATGTATTTCGAGAACATCGTGATTCAATTATTGATCATGAAAAACAATTAAGTCTTGCTTTACAAGAAATTGAACAAGTAAAATAATATAAATACAATTATTTTTTGAAAAACACAATCTAAAAGAAACGTTGAACTATAAGGGTAAAAATTTGGATTCCTTAAAAGTCTAATAGGCACACTAATCAATGTTACTACTTCATCACAAACCATGACAGACACGTTAGCAACTCTTCGTTTTCCCCCTACCCCCGGTCATAAACCATGACAGATGTTTTTTATGTACAATTATAGATCGTCACATATATTGTTGATGTATGATCATAAACTATATATGACACAATTCTTTATTACATTTCTGGCAGATTAAGTAAAATGATAGTGAATAAATGCGTTTCGAAATAGATTGAATAAAAAAAAAACTTTCTGTGATTAATAGTACCAGCTACATTGTGTTTCACATTTTAATTCCTTAAGGAACGTGTTAACAGCTTTTCTAATAAGATAAAATTCATTTTTTAGTTACAAATTGCATTGCGTCAAGCAGAAGAACATGCTCAACAACAATCATATGAACCATCAAATGAATTAATTGATTTACTTAAACGTACTTATCATATTGAAGAAACAGCTTTTGAAGTTAAACGAAAATTAACTGAAACTGCTTTAATAACAGCTAAAGAACAAGTATATAATTGAATTTACATATTTTTCTATAATATTTACTAATAAAAACATTAGATGAATAAAATTTCTAAAATGCAAAAAGGTATTTTTGGTGCTGTACGAATTGCACATACAAATTGTATAGATACTGCTGGTGACTTAATAAATGTAGCAAAGTAAAATATTTGATGTGTTTCGTTTTGTTTTTTGATTAGTTATTTTTGTTTTTTATTTTATAGAGAACGTTTAACAGAAATTCATGATGAATATGAAGAACGTGAACAACGTTGGAATCGAATTGCAGTATTACTCAATCATGATGATTTAAACAATTTAGGATTATCAACATCTGCTGTATATCGTAGCAAAGATTCTTCTCGTATTCATAACTAAATATTAATAACACTCTTCGTATTTATATTCTAGTAATCATTTAAAGTAAAAATAAAGAATGTTTCTTCCTATTTTTCTTTTTCAATTAATAAGTGTATAAATATTTAGATATGTAGGTAAAAAACAATTATTTTTTATTTACCATTCATTAATTTTAGTATTGTTACCATGAAAATAGATGATATATAAGAAAACACAAACATTTAATGACATATTTTAATGTTGTAAAAATAATTGCAATTAATAGATTATACAAAAGGCTACTCATTGAACAGTATAACATATTCGAATAATTATCAATGTCAACAGGTATATCGAAAGATGGGTAAACAAACCAAAGAGAAATACTATTCATACCCTAAGATAGATCTGCGAAATGTCATGTAATATTCATAAATGATTAAAATCTACATTTTTCATCTAGAATAAATCGTCATTTTTACTCTACTTTGTAAAGTATGTTTGATTAATATTGACATTTACATTAAAATATTTTTCCTACATTAACAACTCAAGTCAACTCTATGATTTAGAAATTAACACATATTCAGAAGCCACGAAAGCAGGAAATGTGTATACCCTTCTAAAATTGCAAAATTATTCATTATTACTTCTATTAAGTTAACAAAATTATTTTGCACTCTGTAATACTTCTATAAGATATAATCGTATTAGCTTCTCAAATGTAGAGACCTTCACACAGCGTCTATAAATATAGGCTTTTAAAATATTGAAAAGAAAAAATAATTTATACAAAATACGACATTGATTTGTGATGCCTTCATATCACGAATGAATCATACCCTTCAGATTTTTTTCAAACGAACATGACAAATTTCTATCGAAAAATATTGTCATGTATTCATCTTGATTTTGCTTATATGTTCTAATTAAAATAGATACGATATTTCAAACTTAAGTTAGTAATAAAAAACAACGGAATTCAATCGCATGTATATTTCTTTTATGTCATGTTTTTGTTTTATCATGTTTCATCCATCGTTCTAAAAATATGTTAATGTACAAGACGAATAACGGCAATAAAAAAAAACCTGCAATGGTAAAGGTAAAAAATAATGCGAAATACGGACAGCATAAATCGTTGTCTCGTATATTTTTTTTTCTTTTTTTCCCAAATATACAGAACAGAACAGAATACTGAAGTCATCAAAAAAAAACGTTACGCTTGAACGGCTCGATCTTTTTTTTTCGATATGTATGCTCATCTACGTGTATGTATGTTTTTTTTTCGCTTTCTTTTCAATCAAATACAGCCCTCTAATATACAAAAAAAAGCAAAAGGAAACCACTTTTAGAATCATCTCTTATCATTTAAATATAAACTTTGAGTGATCATTGAAAAATGATGGCTGCACAGATTTCACCTTTTGGAGAAGCCGAGGAAAACAATAGCCCATATGTAAATGCATCATCAACAAAAAAATCAAGATCTACTAAACGAAATCTTCGTTCTGTTAATTCAAATGGCATCATGGAAAATGGTAATGGTTTATTATTAGATTCTATTCCATCAAGACCATCAAAACGTTCTGAAAATCAACCAATTAATGAATCAAATTTAGAGACGTCTACAAATTTACAATCAACAGTTCGAAATTCAAATTTAAATAATCATCAATTACATTTAACATTAACTCCAGTTGAAAGTTCTCAATCAAATGCAACAAATATTGATGATACATCAAAATTTCGACAAATTGAATTAAATGCTGTTTCAGATGAAGATGAAGATGGTAGTAAACAAGACAAAAAAGTCGTACACACCACAGATTATAGGATTCCTGATCATGATCCAATAATAACATCATATACATCAGCTAGTGAGAGTGATATTATTGAAATACATGAATTTAGTTCTGCTGATGTTGATGCTTACCTTGATATTTATTTTGAAATGCTTCATAATCGTTTACTACATTTTATTGGAGATAATGATCAATTACAAGAATTTCGCATGAAAATGAAAAATCGAATAAATTCTGATACAAATTCACGTGAATATCAAAATGTTCTTCTTGGTAAAATGTATGGTGAAGTTGTAGCAGCAGTAACATTATCATTTCCTGGTGAAACAACAACTGTCCCAAATGATAATATACTTCCACAAGAAAATTCATGTTTAGCATCAATACGTCGTTGGATGATACGAAATGCAAATTATATTCCAACAGCTATAAATGAATGTTATATTGAAATGATTGGTGTTAAAAGTTCACATAGAAATCAAGGTATAGGTGCAGCTCTACTTGAATGTGTGGAACATTTTGCTCAAGAAGCTGGTGCACAATTATTAACAGTACATACAAATGGAGAACAATTAGCAAATTATTTTGAACGATTTGGCTTTATGGCTGATCATTCAGATAATTCAGCATTCTGGAAATGGGTAGTTGAACGACAAAAAATTAATAAAATGGCAAAAGTTATAATACCTCATAATGAAAACTATGATGATCATATGGATAATGGAAGTAGTTATATTAATGAAAGTATGGATGGAATTGACCACGTATAATACCGTAGAGAGAAAAAAAAGAAACAATGTATAAAGAAAAATGCAAAGCAAATAAATATTTATTATCAATATTTATGTTGGCGATTTTTGTTAATTTATTATATGTTAGAACAATAAAAGGATGACAAGGTTGATGAAAAATATTATTACATCAGATAGTTATCTACGATTGTTTGTAGACGCAAAAATGTAGAACTGTGCTTTTTTTTTAGAAATAAAAAAATTTTGTTTTATGTTTAAGAAAAATGATTCAATTAAGTGAAAGAGATCAGTATTGAACAATCAAGTTTTAATAAATTTTATTAAAGGTAAAATAAAGAATACAAATGAATAATATTCTTTATTTTTTTCTTTAAAATTCATTCGAAGATAGTATTAGTTACTTAAGAAATGTATATTTTTAAAACGATCTAAAACTTAATTTATTCAAAATTCGACTAATTATTCAAGTGAATCAAGTGTAGTGCTGACATAGATCTATTGATTCGTAATAATAACTAATGTCAATTAGCTCATATCTACTAATAAATGACGTGGTGTTTTAGTTTTATGTTTAAAAGAAAAGAAACAAATTAGTATAACCTTTGGCCTAAAATATGCCCTCATTTTTCTGTCCCTCAAAGGCTATTAATCAGAGCTAGGAGCAGTTAGATAAAATCAAACTTTTTCTCTCTGTCCGAATATCGTCCTAACGTTTCTTTCTGGATCAAGATTGGAAAGTACAGAATACTAGTTTGGTTAATTTTGTATTTTGAATACAAACTATCAAAGTAAAAATTCAAAACAGTCTTAATTAGGCATAGGATACTGTTAGTGTACTTATCGAAATACTAATAATGAATCACCACCACATATGAATGTGCGGTTTCGGTGACAATACTGACAGTGATTTATCGATGAATCGACTGACATACTGACTAGGCTGGGTTAGTATTCGCTGCAGCCTTAATACACCTGTACAAAGTGGATATGTCAGGTAAATCAGTGAGCATCGATCCAGGGAACGTCAATATGGCTTATCAGTGAATAATTTAGTATAACTGCACATCCTTACAGACACAGGGCCAACTAGAACCCTAATTGCATTGGATATCTTGACATCGGCGTCCGATGGAACATTAAGGCATCAACTCTATCAAAAATATGTCCTTTTTGTAGCTGTGTCTTCAAGTGCTTCATAGAACACTGATACTCGTGTAGTCTGTGTGTGCACCATCTATACTGAATCGGCAATCAATAAAATGAAAGTTGCACATCTACGGCTTTTAACAGTTCAGTTTTCTAGAGCAAAATTTGCTCGACAAAGGAAAGTCTGAACATATATTCGAAAATAGCGAAAAACTCTACTTCGGGCTCTAAGCAATTCCATTTTAGTGGCCAAATAATAAGTAAAGATTTTGTGTCAAGACTTTCGTATCATAGGTTACTTTAGAATTAATTTCAATTAATAAAATTAAGATGATTGTGTAACTAGTTGAAGTCTTAGCATGTTTATTGGAAGCAATTTTGTTTTTTAATACTCAATAAAAATATTACCATTCCATTATCTAAATGCTGTAATTAATGTCAAGAAAAATAACTTCATTAATATAAAACATCAGAATAATCGAACTAGATTTCTCATAATAAAGCCAAAGTCTAAAGTACAGCGAATGATCGATCTTGACTATTATAAAAGTCTTTAAGATTCTTTATCAATAATTCCTTTTTTTCGTGTTGTTATATTTTTCAAAACAAATACGATATATCAATAATTATTTCTAAATATATCGACAAAGAGAAAATTGTGTCAATTTAACATTTATCTGAATATAACAAGAAAGAAAACGAAAAAACGAATAAATAAATAATAATAATACAAGTATATTAATTCGTTTCCTGTATTCTTTTTCATATTTATACACAGACGCGCATACACATACACCGTAAAAAAGAAGAACAGATGATACTAGTAGATAAATAAAATTGACTTTAATGTATACACAAGAAAAACAAATAAATGATAAAGAAAAGAGCTGGAAAGAAAAACAAATTGAGATTGATGAGCAAGCACCGGTAATAATTGTGATTGATTAAATCGATATCGTTTCATGTTTGGTTACTCTTTTAATGTAATCGTCTACGTTGAAATGGTCTTAAAAGCTTCGTTGATAAAGACGATCTTCGTACTCTTTCCGATGATGTCGTTGATTCTTGATCATCTAATATTGAATCTGATATTTGAGATCTTCTATCATTTTGTTGTTGAGAATCATCACAGCTAAAATCGTCATTATCTAATTGAAAATCTGGAATAGTACCAGTCATTGATGTTGTTTGTCTTGTTGATAATGGTATATCAAGAGATTCAGATATATTTCGTCCTGATACTTCTGTTGAATTTATATTTAAATTATTAAGACCATTTGTTGAATGTGAATAAATTATTTTTGAATTATTATTAAGACGTTCACTTGATGAACGATTACTTGATAAAGCATTGTTGGCATTTACACGTCGTTTTAATATTGATGGTGAAGAATTGGAATATTCAAAACAAATATCATTTTCACTTTTTGTATCTTGTTGAGCATTTTGCATTGGAAAATATGAATTTACAACTAATCCACGAGCATTTATATTGCTAAAAATATTCAAAATGAAGATTAATCGTTCATGTCTTTTTGAAATTAACTAATAACGACTTTGAATAGATCGATATAAGTTTGTTAAATCCATATGGACAAAAATTACACAATTAATAGAAACTAAAAACTTCCTTGACAAGTTATTGAGATAAACAAACTTTGTTTTTTTGCATCATTTTTTTCTTAAAAAAAGAAACAAAGTTGTAACACTTCATTAAATTCAACATTAAGTTTTTCCCAAAAGAAATCTCTTAGAACGTACTGATAACAACAGTAGAAGTCGGTAAGTTTAGTTCAATTTCGAGTGTGTCAAAAGCGTTTCTGCATTTTGAACTGAGTTGTTCGAATAATTTTCGCTCACTATTTGGAAAAAACAGTTCCGTGTATGAAAAAAACTTCGTTGTTTTACTAAAATTCCGTTCTCAAAACAATAAAATTTTTCAGATAGTGCAATTCTAGGAAATGAACTTTTGCAATAGTTATTTCGCTCGTACAATCTGTACTTTGAATCGAGATCTAGTCAACCCATAAATAACAATTGGATACATCAATTTACTCTGTATATACTAAGAAAAAGGTCAATTTTTAAACAATGTATTTTGTTTTTGTATTTATTTGTTGCTGTTTTTTTCCTGATTAAATTTCTTATGAAATTTTCTCTGTAAACAATGTGTTGTTTTATTAGCTCGAGTAGATATCGTTTATTTCGAACATATCTATATGAATATTAATCTTCTAATTCAATGAAATTATTTCATACCTATTTGTTTTATTAAATAATGGTGAATCATTACTTGAATTAATCAAACTATTCACATCAGCTGATATTCGTCTATGTCGAGAATTTAAATCTAAATAGAAGTCAAAGTTTGTATAAGAAAATAAAATCTATTATTCTTAAAAAACAAAGAAAAAGGAAAAGTTTAATATATATCATAATCATCATATTCTTCCTATCGTTTAGTCAGAAAGGACTATCATCCAATCCTAGATAATCAGATATATCTGAATTATCTTCTTTATTTTCTTTTATCATATTCTTTCTGAGAATTCTTGGTTAAAATAAAAAATAATCAAATTCCCAAAAAACATTAGAAGCAGTGTATATATGCATGCATGAAATATCATGGCTATTTTTCAATAGATGAGTACAAGCAACTCACCTAGAACACGTAAAACTAATCATAAAATTAAGACTGTTATTAGAACTATCACACTACATTTAGAAGAATAATCACCTGGTGATATAGTATTAGTAATTCCATTATTCAATGATGTTTGCGGACTTCCACCTAAATATTGATTGCCACCTATAGATGATGACGATGATGATGAATAACTAACTAAATCTTCTCGATCAAGTAATGAAGCAATACGATTCCAACGTCTTTCACGTTCCTCATATTCATCTTGAACAATTGTTAAACGTTGTCTGAAGACAAAAAAGCAATCAAAACTAAAAACAACAAACTCATATAACTTACTTTGCAGCATTTATTAATTCACTTATATTATCCATACAACCCGTATGGGCTATACGTACAGCACCAAAGAAACCTCTTTGCATTTTAGAAATTTTGGTCATCTAACATATATATATATAATAGAAATAAAAAAATTAGATGTATGGTTTTACTTGTTCTTTAGCTGTAAGCATAGAACTTTCAGCTGATTTACGTTTAGCTTCAAAAGCCATTTCTTCAACATGATAAGTACGTTTAAGTAAATCAATTAATTCACTTGGCGGTTCATATGATTGATATTGAGCTTGTTCTTCTGCTTGATGTAGTGCATGACGTAACTAATTCAAATTAAATTAAAGAAATAAGAATTTTTGTTTTATACAGTAAAACCTCCCATAGTGGACACTCCTCGATAGTGGACACCTCGTTATAGTGGACACTTTGGGACTCGACCAAACGATTTTTGCTGTAATTGAACCTCCGTATAGTGGACACCTCCATATAGTGGACACCCCCATATAGTGGACACTTTTTCACGGTCCCTTTTGCATAAACAACCTCTATATAGTGGACACTAGTTATGAACTCAAAGAAAATGTCGCAATGACTACCGTCGATGATACAACATAATGACTCTTCTTTATTGATCAGGCGGTGGAATGAAAAAAAATACGTCTGAGTTATAGAAAAAGAAGACGTCCATCGTGTTAAATAGAGAAGACGTGTAGATAAATAATCGCATTGTAAAACTTGTGTCATTTTGTTACTATCATTAAGAAAAAGTGAACATTTATCTGGATTCGAAAGCGGCGAAACAAAGTTCTATCAAAGACTATTTTGACAATTGTTAATTTTTCTATTTTCAAAAATTAAAATATATGAAAACAGAAGTAATAACTTGCTCTATCCGATTATCTTATTCACTAATACTTCAGATGCCTAAAATCGTGCCTACTTCTTCGAAAAAGATATTGTTCTTGAAAAACACTTAACCTCCTCATAGTGGACACCTCCATATAGTGGACACTATTGAAAGGTCCGAAGGGTGTCCACTATAGAGAGGTTTTACTGTATATGAATAAAATCATTTGTTAACGACATAACTTCACAGAATTAAAACATGTGTATTTCGAGACGAGATAAATGGAATACTGGGTAATATTTAAAAAAACCTAATATCCTGATTTTTTTCAAATCCTTCTATAAAAACATGTTTTACACTTTAGTTCTTTTATTTCTAAAAGATATCTTAACATTGAAAAGAATAAAAGGAAAAAGAACTAGAATGCCACTCAAGTGAAAAATGTCCGAATATGATCTTATATGATATCTAATATTTCTAAATCTTGAGGGGTGTCCAAGGACTGAGGTTTGGGAATTCTTCCAATTCCTAAAATCACCAGCTAAAAGTGATATATCCCTCGAGGAACTGAGAACTGACCCTCAAGCACTTCATGAAACCTCCTCGGTTCGTCATCAATTCCTTGTCGTGAATAAATCACAAACCTTTGCAACGACAGTTCTCAAACCACGATACCTACTCATTTCCTCCCGTGGGTATTGACCGCCGACAGGTCCTCAGATAAGGAATCGAGGAAATAACTAGAACTAACCGTCAATACCGATCGGGGGAACTGACACCAACATTAGCCACCATCATTCAAATCCCATAAGAAGGATCCAGACAATAACAATTACCACACCAATGCGAGGAGGCGCCGGGGAACTAAGGAATTGTGACAGTTCCGTTGACAGTTCATAGGAACTGAGGTGGATACCTAGAAACTTTCTAGATATCCACCTTGGTTCCAAGGAACTGTCACAGTTCTCCAGTTCTTCGGCTTTTTCTATATATGGTATAATTTTAGTATCTAAAGAGTACTACGTCATTACCTCAATTCTGTCGGGGAACTGAGGGTAGGTACCGTGCAGGTATCCACCTCAGTTCCTAGGAAGTGTCAGCAGAACTGTCACAATTCCTCAGTTCCCTGACTTTTTTCTGTATCCGATGTGATTTTAGTATCTAAAGAGTACTACGTCATTACCTCAATCCCCCTGGCGAACTGAAGGTAGGTACCATGTAGGTATTCATCTAAGTTCCTAGGAAGTGTCAGCAGAACTGTCACAATTCTTCAGTTTCCCGTCTTTTTTCTGTATCTGATGTGATTTTAGTATCTAAAAAGTACTACGTCGTTACCTGAATTCCTCGTGGAACTGAGGTAGATACCTAGGAGGAACCTACCCTAAGTTTCTATTACTTCGAGAAGGATTGATTAGCTGAGTCGTATACCCTTTCGATAATAGGGATAATTCTTTAGTTTTCCTGGGGAATTGGTCATGAAAATTTCAACCAAGGAATTGTCATTTAGAACTGGGCAGAACTGTGGGGGATATGTCAAGGGAACGAGAAGGATTGAGGCTTTTGATTTTTTTCTGATATAAACTCTATACTTCTTGGGAGGCTTTCTTGATTCATTTAAGGCAGCATAGATACGAGGGAAAGATTTAACTTCTGCTGACAGTTCCTGGGAAATGAGGTGGATACCTACGCGGTACCTACCCTCAGTTCGCCAGGGGGATTGAGGTAATGACGTAGTACTCTTTAGATACTAAAATCACATCGGATACAGAAAAAAGTCGGGGAACTGAGGAATTGTGACAGTTCTGCTGACACTTCTTAGGAACTGAGGTGGATACCTGCACGGTGCCTACCCTCAGTTCCCCGACAGAATTGAGGTAATGACGTAGTACTCTTTAGATACTAAAATTATACCATATATAGAAAAAGCCGAAGAACTGGGGAACTGTGACAGTTCTGCTGACAGTTCCTTGAAACGAAGGTGGATATCTAGAAAGTTTCTAGGTATCCACCTCAGTTTCTATAAACTGTCATAATTCCTGAGTTCCTCGGCGTCTCCTCCCATTGGTGTGGTAATTGTTATTGTCTGGATCCTTCTTATGGGATTCGAATGATGGAGGCTAATGCTGGTGTCAGTTTCCCCGATCGGTATTGACGGTTAGTTCTAGTTATTTCCTCGATTCCTTTCTGAGGGATTGTCGGCGGTCAATACCCACAGGAGGAAGTGAGGAAATGAGAAGGTACCGTGGTTTGAGAACTGTCGTTGCAAAGGTTTGTGATTTATTCACGACAAGGAATCGATGACGAACCGAGGAGGTTTCGTGAAGTGCTTGAGGGTCAGTTCTCAGTTCGTCGAGGGATATGTCACTTTTAGCTGGTGCGTTTAGGAATTGGAAGAATTCCCAAAACTCAGTCCTTGGACACTGCTGGAATATTGTCTGAAAAGTAACCTTTTTAAAGAATCGAAAACTAGATATGTTTCACTTCGCTTGAAATAACCTCATATATGTTACTATTTATTTACTTGTTCAAGTTCTTTTAAAGCTAATTGAAGTTGACCTTCACGATCAGCAGTTGAACCACGGCGTTGTCGATATTTTTCAGCTTCTTCCTAACGAAAAACAAAACTTTTTTTGTTATTTTTCTGTTTCTTCAATAGAACATAACTATTTTTGTACTTTCGTTCGTTGCACTTCAGTAAACCAAGATTTTAACAAACCACGATCAACTTTTGTTTTATCTTTTAATTCATTTTCCATTGCTTTAACTCTTTTAAATTAAAAAAGTTAATGTCAATATAATTATTCAATTAAATTTTCTTACTTTACAGTTACAGCTTTTAGATTGCCTTCAGCGTTTTGTAATGTTTCAAGTTCTTTTAACATTAATTTCATAGTTTCTTGAGTTTTACGATGACGTAAAAATGCATATAAACAAGCACCAAAAGATATCGATAATGCTGACATTAATATAATATCTTTTATTAGATTATGTGTCTCTAAATAAAACAAAAATCGCATTTAAAGGAAACATAAACAAAACCAAATCAATGAAAATTTACGTTTTGGAGGACCAAATAAAATAACGTCTGTTGCTTTAATAACTAAACGTCGTTTATGTCTTGGATCACGTATTTGCATAATAGCTGAAAGATAATGTTTTTGATTAGCTGCTAATCTAAATAAAATTAGAAAATTCATAATTATGACTTAACAAAAAAATTTCTTCATTCAAACCTTGGAATCATTCGACCATCGATTTGATTACGACGAAAATTGTCAACATAAATTGGTAAATGAACATAATTAACAAGCCAATGAACAACATCATCATTACTCCAATTATAAACTAAAACCATAACAAAAAACAAATGAAATAATAAAATAATTTCAAAGAATTAATATCATGAAAAGTTACCTGCGCTCTTTTCCCATTGTGTCCATAGATCATTAAATGTTATTCGTAAATTGGCATCTTGAAATTGACGGTGTCGAATAGAGTCTGTGTTTGATTCTAGTTCTTCTTTTATAAACTAAGAAAAAAAAAACAAAATTTTCATTTGAAAGACAAATATAATAATTTCATTATACAAAAAAAAATCTTACATCACTACTTTCAGATGCTTCAATCATACCATCTTTATCATCGTCCATTTGTTCATGTATAGCTTTTATTGCTTCACGACCAAGCCGATCTTTATCAGCATCAACACATAAATAAAAAGCTCCCGTACAATCTAAAAGAAAACACAAAAACAGAAATAATAATTAATAAAATTCAGTAATAAAGAATAATTTACCTGGATCAGGAATATTATAAGCAATGTTATTATTTAACTGGCATGATTGAAATAAGTTCAGAAATAAAATAAGATAAATAACTATTGGACACATCAAATCTATAGGTGTAGGAAAAGAAAATGTGACTACGTTTCATATGGAGAATATGGTTGATTTGATATATGAATATTTTTATTTAATTAGAAAAGAAGAACATAACTATAGGTAATAATATTTGAATATCAAAACAGTAAAAAGTAAACACTGTGACTGAAGAAATAAAGTTGTTACTTGCTCGAACCATGTGGTCATAGAAAAACGAAATATATTGCCTTGCGTCATATTGTTGTCATTCGGATGATTAAACACACTGAATATTTATGTACCAATCAGCCCTCCTCATATTTACGTATGCAGACATCACACATTATTTTCAAGGAGAGAACGAGGAATAGTGGAGCTTATAACTCAATCAAAGTTGTTTTTAATTACCACTCATAATAAAATAAAGAACGTATATTGTGGATTCTAATCTGATAAATAAACTAGTATGGATACGTATGTATACATAAGTGCAAAAAAAAGATGCCGTTAGAGTATTTCTAGATTTTTGTTTTATTCGAAGCGATGAATAATAAAACTTATTATTTAAACTCATAAATTGCTTGTTTACTGTAGTCTACAACTATTCTAATGAATATAAAATACGTTCTTTTTTTTTTTTTGTCGAGTCAACAACGAGAAGGTTTCTACAAGGAAAAAAATCGATTAGCACTTCTATGTTAATTAGGTCAATTACTCATCGGCTGGCGCAAAGATCAGGTCAATTAGCCACTTGTGATGGATCCTTTAGGAACCTTTTTTTTGTAAGAAAAAACTGCAGATTTCCATAGATGATCAGAATTTTCCCATCATACATGACAAAAAAAATCTAATGTATGTCAGGCTTTTTTGGCACTTGTTGACTCAAAAAACCGTACTTCTTTATTCATCGTTATAGCTGTAGATTGCAGGATATACGAAATATATTAATATTAAACATTTTATTATGCATCGTTACCTATAAATGAAATCTGGAATGTTCCAATTATATTCTGTTTTTTTGCATGCTATCGTATATACCTAAATGAAGATATTAGTGGTACAAATATTGGGCTTTGTTTTTGTTAGATGTATTTTTCGATAAGACTGAAGTATGAGAGAAAGAAGAGAAAAGAATAACAAAACAGTCGTCAGCTTTTGCCATCTGTTATGTATTCTGTCTCTCATGTGTAACTGACATTTTCCTAATAATCACAATATATATATATAGTCTCTCATGTGGCAGATATAATCAAACATTATACACGCACTTATCTTGTCTCATCATTGTCAAAAACTTAAACAAACAAAAAATCAATAATATTATTACTTTAGATGTTAATCAGCTTATTATTTTTAATCATATTGTAAAATGATTTATTACCAATAAAACAAAAATGGAATCAAATCTATTGATAATACATATTACTAACATAACTAAACTATTTAAAGATTATTCTTTTTGATTTGATGTAGTTTTAAATAAATATTTACTTAACGAAAGAAGTTTCTATTAAAAAACTTACCAATAACGATGCTTGATCGATTGGTCTGTATTAATACTAAACTAACAATTATTTTCCCTTCTTTCTTTCTTTTCTTATGAATCAGTATATTCTATAACACGTTGTAAGTAGATGTTTCGTATCCAATAGAAAAACTTCTAAAATTTATTTCTATTGGATAAAGATAAATACATTCGAAATACTCATAAAATAAAAATTAGATCTTATTTAAAAAAAAATATTCTTTTACAATGAATTGTCAAACATTAATTGAAAAATATGTTAATGATCGTGATGAAACGATTGTTCACCAACTAGGACAATGTATGTAAAAGAAACCACTCGAGTAATCTTTACTTTTTTTATTATTTTAATTTAGTTTTGATAACAAAAGAATTAATATTAGTAGATTTTATTGTTAGCATTGGGTAAATGAAAAGAAAAAAAAATTTTTTCTGCCACTTTTAAAAAAAAAAAAAAAAACGCCATTGTTTTTAGTGATTCTCTTCAAAGCATAGAATTATCAAAACGATCTTTGGCTTTAATATTAGTTGCAAATGTTCTTGAATGTTTACCAAATACATTTTTAGAATCAAACGAAAGTAAAAAATAAAAATAAAAATAAAATAAAGATTTATTTAATTATTTTCAATAATTTGTTCGTTTCTTGTTTTTATTTAGTTCATCATTTAGTTGTCTTTATAAGTGCAAAAATGGGTGATCATAATGTACTAATACAACCATCTGTTCAATTATTTCGTATTTTAGTAAAAAGAAAAAAAAAAAACGTTTCTTGGAAAATAATTTTATTGAGAATTTTTTGTTTCTTGTTCTAGGCTAAACAATCAGCTATTACTGATGATGATTGCATAATAATAATAAAATCAATATTTTCTGATGTTTATGTACAATCATTTCCACAAGCAAGTCGATATAATGTTTTTGTTATTTTATTACATTTTTTGTTACATCGTCTTGATGGTAAATAAATAGAGATTTGTTGTATTTTGAAATGTTTGACATTTTTCTTTTTATTATAAAGCTGTTCGACAACTTGGTAGTGATTTTGTTTGTAATTTTATACAATCTATGGATGGTGAACGTGATCCAAGAAATCTTGTTCTTTGTTTTCAATGTTTACAATATATGACGAAATATTTAGATATTGGTAAAACAAAAAAAGAATTGATAATTATTAATATAAAATTTTTGTTTTTTCTTTTGTATTTAGAACCTTATAAAGAAGAATTATTTGAAGTTGTTGCATGTTATTTTCCAATGGAATATAAACCGGTAAGAGGTTTTTTTTCTTCTTGATTTTAAGTTATCAATTTGTGTTCAGGTTAAGAGTTTGATGAAAATAGAGAATCTTGTTTATTATTAATCATAGTAAGAAGAGTGGATATCATACCCGAGATCTATCCTTCGGCCTATTATTTATTTGTTTATACGAGAAATTTAAGAAAAAAAGAAATCCTATCTCTTTTTGTTAATGATCTGTTTATATTGATTACATTTTGAATCTTGTATTTTGATGCTTGTTTTATTCATCCTTACGATGTCAAGTACTTTTTTTTTATTATTCATATCATCATTATATTGTAAAGAGTTTTTTATATAAATAGTACATCTATGATATTTGATATCGTACCGCATATATAGACAAGTTTTTGTTTTGTTTGTCAAAAACGTGATGAAAAGATCATCTTGTTCGAACAAATTTTTGATGACCAGACCTACATTCTACAAAACAAAATGATTAAGTAATAATGTACGACAGAATGCTGGATAGAAGGATGAAAATCATTCTATCATGTACTCTGTGATTAAATGAATGACTATTACGGTAGCTTGTCAATAACAGAAAACTATTTTGGACTGTTTCATAGAGTTAAAGCTGTGTAAGTACTTTAGTATTTTATTTCATACAATTACGATCGTCGACATTTTGCTTTGACTTTCATTCAAACCGATGCAGAATTTTTTTATATTACAAAACTATGTGTATGAATGTTAGCTTTGAGCTAGTTATTGGAGTGGAAAAAGTATCACAAGTTGACATACTCGAGATTATTTTTTACGAGTACTTTTACTTGAAACACTCTTGTCATCTTAGTAACAAGCTCAATAATAACACCCATTGACATAGTTTTGTGACCTGAAAAAATCTGTATCGATTTGAATGAAAATCAACTAAAAAAAATGTCAACGATCGTAATTCTTTTAAACAAAATACTGAAGTATTGGAGAACAGTCCTTGCCGAGCTCTCCATAGAGTAGTAACCGATTGATTTAAATCTTAAGTTGTAATCATGGATACGAAGATCTTTCGTGGTATTTTATATGTTGAATATTAACGCATTCAAATATTTTACTAAGCAAGTATAGTGTTCTTGAACTAATAAACTTTTTCCAGATTGAATTAGAAATTTGACTACGTGCAAAAGAAATGTTCTACAATTACCTAAAGCTTATAGAGAAAAAACGATTTTGAACAATTAGAATTTCTTTTTTGTTATCTTCGAATTATGGAGTACAAATAATTTTTCTTTTAAGATTATGAACAAAGACATAAAATATACTATTATTAAAATGATAACTAATTTCATTTGTATCTTTTTTTTTTGTTTGTAATAGAAAGCAACAAATAATGAAACTGAAGAAACAATTACACAAGAACAACTTGTTCTTTCATTGCGTAATGTTTTAACATCAACCGGCAAATTCGCTCAATATTGTATACCAATGTTAATTGAAAAACTTGAATCGCATATATCCAGTGCTCGTTTAGCTGCTATGGATGTTTTTGTATGTAATCCAATAATTGAATTATTTTGTGTTTTTTTTCCGTTAAACAGAAAATCTTTTTATTCTAGATTCATTGTATTGATGAATATGATGCTCGTGATATGAGTTCACATTTAGTACCATTATGGAATTTATTTAGTAAACAGGTATAGAAGAGAACAAAAAATAATTATAATAAAAAACGAATCTTTGTTTTTGAAGGCTTTATGTGCTGAAAATGAAGAAATTGAAACATGTGCACTTCAAAGTATAACTGCATTAATGCAATTAATTGGAAAAACTATTCAAAATGATGAAACAGAAATTTCAACAAAGAAATTTGTCGATCGAGCTATTCGAGGTGAAAGAAATAATTGAAATTTTAGTTTTTTGAAAATAAATAAAATTCATTTCATATTTAGAATGTGGAAATTTTCTTAAAGAATTCGATTTAAAACTTGCTTGGCCAGCAGTAAAAGTTCTTCAATCTATTGCACGTGCTAATTCAACTGGTTCATCACTTATATGGTCAAATATAATTCCTTTATTAATCAAGCAATTTAAGAATTTAGAACAAGTATTTATTGAAAAGACCCTGTCAGATAAGATAAGACAACTACACTTCACTTGAAAAGTCGACTATATCGTTTTGAAAAGCAACTCACGCCGCATCGAATAGTATACCGGAAATTACTTTTTCATTGAATTATATATGTTCTGAGAAGTCATATGCCAGTTAAGAGATATTCTAACAATTGTGAGTGATTTGACCAACTATTAAGACTCACATGTAATAATACTCATGATAGCTTTCTTCGTACCCGAAGCCTTATTATTTTCTTCGCTCCTATAATTTTTGACTTTTATGATATTTTAAATTATTTGATATTGCTTGTAAAGATCAATAAGACTAGCCATGCAAATTTCTGAGATATTGTTTATCACCAAGTTCTATAAGTATACCAATTGATTGCTCTTTGAATTGATGCATATCATGGATAAATCGACTCATCAATGCATAAAAAAGGCCAATTTTTCGATTCTAAGGACAGAATAGTATATGATTTTTGTGATAAATACTTTTTGAATGAAAAAGTTTCTATCAATTAATCATAAGTTCATTATACCCTATCATTTGAAATATATGGATCCTTCAAAAAAGATCAAACAATTATCCGCTGTCGAATCCCTGGAGAGCGTAATGGAATATACGCATTTTTAATTCTCATAGGAGACCGAACGTATATTGAATCTAATGAAGCACCACACTCTAATTATATCTGCCTAGTCAAAGTCTAAGTTCATTAGGAACAAAATAAAATAGAATTAATCTTTGTGGTAATTCAGTCTCGTATTTCCCTCCAGGGATTTGAAAGCGGAAAACGTTTTTGCTACATTCAAAAGATCCACATATATATCAAAGAGTAGTGCACTGTCCTTAGGAATCGTAGAACTGGTGTTTTTTAGGTATTGATGAGCTGATTTGGCTATGACTCACATCAATTGAGAGAAAAATCAATGGGAATAATTATAGAGCTTGATGGCACACAATATTTGAGAAAGTTGTATGGTTGGTTACCTTTGTCTTGAGGAGCACTATGAAAAAAATTTAAAATCTCATAAAAGACAAAAATTACAGAAGCTAGAAAAAATGTCAAGGTTTTGAGTAGGAAGAAAATTATTGTTGGATATATGTGATCGTAAGATCAGACAAAACTCTATTGAAGTAACTTGAAACAAAATTTGATATGGGTAGATTTAGAGATATATTGAGTGCTAATATTTGCTCATATCACCCACAATTGCTATGGGATTCTTTAACTAGTATATGGCTTCTCAAAATATAAAAACTTTATGAAAAAGTAATTTTGTATATACTAGTCGATACGACATGAGTTATTCTACAAAATGATACAATCAAAATTTCAAATGAAAGATGGTCACCTCATTCTACAGGATTCTTTCTTTATTATTTATTAATTTAATTATTTTGTTTAGGCTAAACATAGAAGAACAATTCTTGATATGATTACTTATCTTCTTCAGCCGACAGGTTAAAAAACTTTTCCGTCTCAATTGTTTATTTAATGTTTATTTATCTGTTTTTGTTTGTTAGCTATTCGATCTATAATTAAATTACCTTCTGATGTATCAGATGAACTTTGGATACTTGTATCAGCACATTTTGAATCATTTCCAAGTCATTATCTTTCATTAATTAGTAATCTTTTAATATTAAATACTACACCTGGTCAAGTACTTGAAGATAATTTAACAAAATTTATTTTACACGAAAATATTAGTGATGAATTAAAGTTTGTATAAAGTTTTTTTTAAATTATGAGTTCTAGTTTAATTATATTGATAGACCAAAGTTATCAACTGTTTTGAAAATATTAGCGTCGTCAGCTTCATTTGATCGTATATGTACGAATTTACTTACAATTTTAATCAATTCATGGACAGGTAAAACAAGAATATAATATCCATGAGAGAAATTTCGAAAGTTTTCGATTAAATATCTTCTCTTCAATTGTATTTTACTCAAAGAGAAAGAAAGAAATCAAGTTCTTCAAATCATGTCCATTGTAAAAACCTGAATTGAAACATTGATACTATAAAAGGTCATGCCAATTATACAGAGAGTTATCAATTTCTATTGCTAGCAGAAATGTTGTTCGTCCACATTTTTCTTGATATTCAACAAAAAAGAATAAAATATTGATTCCTATATCTTTTTGGTAGACATGTTCTAAAAGGCATATTTTTCCATAAGTCAATAGGAAACATTCTCCTCTACCGAACATTATATTATTTATATTTGTCATACATCCGTAAATCAAATGCGGCTGGAAAAAAAGAGAACAGTAATGGCTCGATAAATTTGTGACTTTTATATAAACTTGTCAAGAACATAATGTGACATGACAGCTAATCAAAGTGTATTACCGTTTTGTTGTATATTTTTGACAAGATTATATAAAAATCACAAATTTATTGGGCGAATATGTCTCTTTTTCTCTCCTCATTTGGTTTATGAATGTATGACAAATATAAATCATATACTGTTTGAAAGCGGAAAAAGTTTCTTATCCACTAATGGAAAAGTATTCCTTTTGAAAACGTATTTATTGAAGAGAGATGAGGATTCATATGTTAGGCTGTTATATTTCGTACGAACTTATGCAGTTTTGCATTGTTCTCCAAAAAACGCTGCCACCGCCGACATAGCTAGAAACAAAATTCTTAAGAAAAAAATAATAAAATAATGAAATTTTGCTTGAATTAGAAATCTGCATGAGTAATAGAACCATTTTTTCTTTGGATTTCTAATTCTTGAACAATAGGTAGGTATTTCACTATTAATTATTTTCTATTAACATTGATAGCACTAATGAGAGAAGTGTTCTAACTATTAAATTATTTTTAAGTCGAAATTATGTGTATGAGCTAGACGCAAATGTACTAAGAATACCCTAAAAAGAATTCATATTCTTAACTTATTGCTGCCAACAGACTGCACTTTTACTGAAGCTTTTAAATCAATGCCGCGGTCCTCCTTTAGAAACACTCGAAAAAACTGGTTTTCGAAATTCCACTTAAAAGTACATTCTGAAGTGAGAAGAATTTTTTGTGCATGTTTCAAATTTTATCACTGTTCCTGTCTTAAGATACAGCTATGTTTATAGGATGTCCTTCATATCGTTGTATAAAGCAGCAAATTTGATGTTTTGATTTTGAAACACGATCTAAAAGGAGTGTGGAAATATATAGGGTATAAATTCAGGCTCTCACAGACCATGACCGATGCTACCCAGGATAAAATCGAATCAAGAGACTTAAAACTTTCACAATAAACCATTCTCGCTAAGGCCTGTCTCAATAGGAAGTTTCAAGCCAAAATTCAAAACTCAGTTTTTCTGTTACTACGACACTTATTTGAAAAATATCATAAAAGTGTAGTATCTGTATAGTAATAATTCTAAGGACACGAACTCTATTTCAGGTAATCATAGTTTGGGATTTATTTAGTCTCGATTCAAAAGAGATTTATCATTTGCGAAGTTTTCTTCGAAAGACTTATCTTTATTTAGTTACAAAAACAACACCATCGAATGAAACATTAGAATGTTGTATTGATTTATGTCATAATTCTGAACGATGTCAAGAACGTCTTGAACGTTTCTTTTTTCCATCACGTATGTTAATAAAAAAAATTAATAAATTTTAAAAATATTATTTTTTTTACAATTTTCTTAGAACAATTAATTCAACTTTTACCAAATCTTTTTAAATATTTATCACCTTTATATATTTTAACAAATTTATTTTCACCATTATTTGATTTATTATTAACATTGATTGTTAATGATGAATATACAAAAAATTTCTGTTCGAAATGTGGTAGTATTGCTGATGAAAGGTATGATTAAGAAAATAAAATAAAAGTTATTTATAAATTTACTTTAAATAGTTGTAAAACATTTGTTCAAAATTTCTATGAAACAAATTTATTCAATGATTCAATGTGGCAATCGGATAAAGTAAAACATAAGTTCATTTCATTTATATTAGTTTAATATTGTTGTATATTTTATAGGAAACAAATTTATTAATAACGATTTATTTTATTGGAAATTTAAAACGAAAAGTAATTAAAATCAATGTTTTTTTTTATATTCTAAATAAAAAAAATCAAATTTTTTTTTTTGACAGTTTTTTCAACATGAATTAGAAATAATTTTTAATAAAATCAATCAAAAATTAATGGATAAAATATTAAATCAATCATCAAATGAATTGACAGAAATCTATTGTTATTTTTATGGAAATTTAATTAATAAATTAGCTTCAAAAAGTAAATTTTCTTGTAAAGTTGTATTATTTTTTTTTTTTTTATACAATTTTATATATTAAGATGAAATACTCGAACAAGCTCAATCGATGATAAAACAATGTGAAACATCTCCTGATGAAAAACATATTCATTTATGGACGATTATTGTTAAAGCATTAATTTTATATCGTCCTTCATTTAGTGAACAATATATTCCAATAGTAAAATTTTATAAGAATTTAAATAATTGAATATTTTCTTTTTCTTTAAATTTTAGTTAATATTATGGATGAATGAAAAGAATAGTATTGGTGATTTAGCATGTCAATCATTAAAAATTTTAACTAATTTCAATGAACAAACTTTATTATTATCATCTGAAGTTGATTGTATTGTTCATCCAATGGTTAAACAAATTATTTTTATGAATATACTTTCACAAATGAAACCACTTTTGATTAACAATGGTTCGAAATTATTTTTCTTTTGAAATTTATAGGAAAAAAAAATATAATGAATTTAAAAAATAGTAGAACTAAATTCAATTTCATTAAATTTTGAGAAGATCCGCATGTTAAGTACTTCTGAATGTTAAGAAAAATACAAGTTAACTGTGCCAATAGCTTTGTTTTTGGTTATGGTTATGCCATAACTCTATTTGTGAGTGTCATTATGGCAATCTCAGAGTTTCCTAGTACAGAGACCAAAAATTTTAACTAACTGAATACAATTTAGTTTTTGCATAATACAAATATTGTGATATAGATCATTCACAAGTCAAAAGATAGAAATAATAATTAATCTCAAACTGTTAATATTAAATTAGCATTATTTTCTATTCTAATACATAGATGACTGGCGATCAGATCTTAAGCATTCTAATATCAAAATTTCTCAAGACCGAACAATTTTTGTTTCGCTTCTTTGAATAGCACTTCCAGTCAAAAAGTCTTTGTTTACTCAACTAAAAATGTTTGGTATGAACCCTTAGAGGTGTAGTCGCAGGCAACATATGCATTAAAAATTGAAAAAATGCTAATGTAATACTGACATCTTGGGATTAATTCATTTTCATGCAAATAATAATAATGCTAGTCTGACAGGTCTAAAGAAGAGTATCATTTTTTTTTTGCATTTATCAATTGTAAATGATAAGCCATCTAGAGGTTTTATTATATTTATAAGCCCATTATAATATCGTTTATCAAGATTATCTATAGTAATTGATTTGCACTTGGGTCTAAATTCATAGTGAATTGAGTATAGGAATAATGAAAATGGTTCTTTTTTCTCTGAAGAAATTTTATAAACAACCAAATAGTTCGATGATTAAAACGATTATAAAACGCTAAGTAAAACATAACTCAATATTTACTGGAGACATCATTTTCTTTTAATATTTTTCCTTTCGATCGTTCTATGGCCAATCATAAGAATGCTTGAATAAGAAAGAAAGTATGATAATCAATGCTTCCTTTTTCTTTTATGGTTCACTGGATGACATAATATAAAAAAGGGACTATGAGTCTGTCGATCTTCTATTATGTATCATTGAGTTTCTATTGTCTATTATATCAATGTTTTGAACAGTTGCAACGATATTTGTTATAAATATCATGGATATATATGCCAAAATCATCAAACACAAGTAGTAGATTTATAATTCAATGAAAGTTCTAATAGATTGACATTGAACTAACAGCAGCAGTGTTCAGAATTTCTGAAGAAAGAATATTAGCAAAGCATGAGAAAATAATTTGTAGAAAATATCGATAATGACTAATAATAATAAAGCTCTTCCTTCATAAGTATAACAATTTTCAAAATTTCTCGACAAATACTGTCTTATAAATCAATAATTAAATGATTTTCTTAGAAATTATATTCTGATGTGTTAGTAATTACCGAAATTTGCTAGATATTATCTTGTCATATATTGCTAGTATCGAAAATTTCTTTTTTGTTCTGAAATCTAAGCATACCTCGTTCATCATATATTACTCTTATGCTTCAATCGTTACAATATGAATAAGGATATTGTTTATACATATTTTTTAGATAACTAACTTTAATAATCATTGAGATTCAAGAAAGCGAATAATTTTTATTGAATAATAGAATAGACAGTCGACTTTTTAATGTTCGAAATTAAGTCATAATTCATGTTTGTTTGATAATTTAGTAAAATTATAGAGAACATATTCAAAATTGATTTTTATTTTCAACATTTCTTATAATAGATATAGAATCAATATATCAACGATTATGTTTGATACATTGATTTATTTTTATAAAATATTAATAAACCTTCTTCTATATAGAACTATTACCAAGTCAAATGAATGTACTCGTTGATTTATTAGGCAATGTACCAAAAGCTATTATTCAAGATGAAATAGTCTCAGTAAGAATTTTTTATAATAAAAAATTAATTTTCTTTAAATTTATTATCCAATAGTTATTACCTATTTTAATTCGAGCATTAGCATCATCAAATGAATCAGTTTGGTCATCAGCACTTAATTCAATATGTGATTTAATTCAATCTGAGCCAAATAGTGTAGTTGATCATATTGATACACTTTTTCCACGTTTAATAACTTTAGCAACTTATCAAAAAGATATGGTAAAACAAAAATAAAACAAAATAAAATATTGTTTTCTTTTTTTTTTGTCTAGTCAATTCGTATTACAAGTTTAAAATGTTTGAAATATTTAACAAATTTACCCATACATAAAATTGAGCCATATCGACGTCATATAATACATCTATTAAAAACATGTGTTGGTGATCATAAACGTCTTGTAAGAAAACAAGCTGTCGAAACACAAATGTCATGGTAAATTTATTTAGCGAATTTTTGCTTTTTTTTCTTAGAAAAAAAGAAACAACATAAGTATTTATTTTAGGTGTTTATTGAATGCATAATTAACAACGATGATTATAGACTGATTACGTTTTTTTTCTTCCAACTATAGAAATTCTTGCGATGATTTGTTTTGATGTAAATCCCATGATTTCTACTTCTTTTGTTTTAGATAGATTTTAGAAAAATAAAAATGTTAAAATTGATATATTACTTGAAATATTCTTTTTATGTATTCATTATATAGAATAAAATGTTAGATATTTATATTTGATTACATGTATGAATGTTATTTATTACGATTAAATAATTATCAAAAATTAACAAGAACAATATAATAATGATTAATGAAAAGTAAATATCGATTGATGATTTTAAACAAGAACTTAATAAATGAATGATATGAAAAAATTACCAAGTGCAATAAGTCAAATATATAGAAAAAAGAAAAAATCCAGATTTCACAACCTTGAAGATTGACCGTGAGAAATCAAGATATTTTTATATAAAATGAGATGAGCACGCTACATATGATTGCTCGAAGAACAACAAAACTTTCAATTCCGACAAGTGTTTCTATCTTTATCCTATTGGTGCAACAGTGAATATATACATTCTCCTAGAGATAATCTAACATGAATAAAGAAAAATAATCATTAAATCTTCTATCTTCAATCATTTCACGATGGCTTAATTGAAATATACAAAAACAAAAGTCAATTAAAAACTCAATATGAACTAGAAAAAATAAGTCTATAAAGAAAATAAATTATTTGTCGTGCTATCTATAGCACTTTACAAAGTTGATTATATTGTTGTAAGCAAAAGACTTTCTTTAAAGAGTATTAACGAAGAAAATCCTTCAACCAATAAAATACTTTTCGGTCGAGACTAAATACATTATGCAGATCCAAATGAATTATGAATATAGTTCGGACTTTTAGTTTATTGCTACAGAGATACGGTATTTTTTTAAATGAATGTCGCAGTAACATAAAAACTAATTTTCGATTTTCGACTTGATAGTTTCGATAGAGAAAGGCTTAAGTTTTTGTGAATGTTTCAGATCTTGTCCTTGTTTCTATCCTAAGATTCAACTATGATTACAGTGTGTCTTTTACATCATACATATCAACTGCAAGATTTGATGTCCTTATGTCAAGATAGAAGCAAATGAGGGTCTCTTCATCCATCAAAAAAGTCAACATTAGACAAAAAAAATGAAAATTAAGATAAATGCATGGGAAGATAGCCTAAGGCCTAATACTTCATAAATGACATGATTTTTTTATTCGATACTTCCTTTTTCGTCGAAATTCTTAATTATTTCTGTCGTCACATATATGAAAAACAAGCTATTATTAGATAAAACGGGAAAAATTTTTCGGTTCCTCTCTATTTATATTTTTTTGATCGCTCAATCTAGAATCCTTTGTAAGCTCTTATTCTATATATATTTAGTATTTTTATGTTTGAAAGCGCATGTAGAGATGCAGAGCATCACAGACTCCCATTTCTAATTAAGCTTTGTTTTTATTAGATTTTCAAATGCTTAGATAAAAAAAATAAACATACATTTCTGGAGAATTTTTTGGGACTTTCGATTTCTCACTCTTTTTTTTCCACATAAATAGTAGGAATTTCAAAAAAAAGAACTTTGTAGTGCCCTGCATCTGGATATGCTCTTTCAAACAAAACAAATTAAGTATATAGAACGAACCAGAAGGAAAAACATCGGCCTGTCACACGAGCTCGTTTTGACTCTTGCTCGGTGAATATCTCTATCAAATGTTATGGTGTGGAAGTGAAAATTTTACCATAGCCTCTCTACTACAGCCCTAACGTATCTTACAAATTTCAGTTGATTTGAATGTATCTCGAGTTTTGAGGGAAGATGAGGGCTTAAAAGACCAAAAACGTTCACAAAAAGCTATTCTCGTTTAATTCTGTCTGTATGCAATGTTTCAGATCAAAGTTCGAAAAAAATTTTTTCTGTTAGTACAGCATTCAGTTCAAAAACTAAGGTAAAAGTGCAGCAAGAATTCAAGGATACGAACCTTTTTTAGGGTATTCATTGCTCATTTAGATCTATACAATGCAGATAGCCTCGACTCAATAGAGATTTACCATTCGTGAAAATTTTCTCATAAGGAAATAATTAAAAAATTATGTATCATGCTGAGTCAATTCTTTTTTTCTGAATAATTTTCAACGACTCTTAAAGTTAAATTGAAAACCAAACAGTTAGAAGATTTAATATCCCGGATTATCGTCTTCATTAAAGCCAGATTAGTGTCAGGAACATGTGCAAAGAATGACTAATGGGTTTAAGTCTTTCATCAGCTTTAGAAAAAAAATATCTTATTTAATTCGCCTATATAGTATATAATCAGTCGTAAATCTTCTAGTCATTTTTTTTTATATTTAAAAGTGTCGAGATTTAATTGTATTACTGGAAGATTTAAAGGATTGCAAGCTTTATAATTCTTATCGTATGTTTCGGATTTCATAGTGAGAATATTTTTTAAATGCAAATATATTAAACCTTCTATTAAAAGTAAGTCATATCATAAATTAGTAGAATGGTTTTTGTTATTGAAATTATTTGGTACATAGTTCGAATCTACATCGAAGAACAAAATTGGAAATCTTTGCCATGATGATTTAATATATAGGTATGATCATTAGTGATTCCAAATCATAGAGCCTAATTAATATCTGAGCAAAGATGAAGTCTTAACGAAACTTATTTTTGAATTTCCTCAATGTCTGAAATTAACACATTAGAACTAGTACGAACAAGATGATCCTTGCTCATATGTCTAATTAGAAGAATGCTACTCTTGAAGAATTCATAGTTACTCTCAATGAAAAGCATTCAACAAAAAAATATTTTTCCTGTTTAGTAAATTTTAGTTGTCGTTAATCTTTCCTGGATGAGTTTTAAAAATAAAATTCTGTAACTTTTGTTTTTCTCATTGTTTATGTTTTCATTTGTTCTGTGCGATTCATGCATTAATAAAAACAACACAATAGTAGATGTCGAAACATTTTGTTTTTGTTAAATTTCTTTTCTTTTTTCAGATGATGTCGGAAGAAAATAATGAACAAAACGACTCAAATTTAAATTTAAATCATCATGAAGTAAATAGTAATAATAATGATGATGATAATACAATAAAAACTCAAGATAATCAATGGATTGATGAATTACGTATAGCACTTGAAAAAGGATGTGATTTAGGATCAATTCGTAATATTGGCAAATGTCGTCCACTTACCGATGATTTGAGATTGCGTGTTTGGAAAGTAAGAAAATTATTTTTTTAAAGTTTTTGTTTATGAATCAAATTCGAATCTCAAATAGATGAAAATCTCTATCAATCAGTTTCCGTTTTAATAGAACCTGTGGAAGTTCAAAAAGACTCTAACGAAAGACCGTGCTCAAGTGATAAATAGCTTGGAACTATATTTAATCGAAAGAGCCTTGCGATTAGGTATATACTTGAGAATAGCTCCAGCTGTCGAACCTTGATTGCTGAAGTATCGAATTTCTTATGAAAAACATGGAGTTTTTGGCAGATTCCTATCTCGAAGAGACTTTATCAAAGAATTATGAAAATTTCGCTACAAAATATACCCATCACGATCTTCATAAGGGTAAGGCTCAGGTCTAAATTCAAAAGTATGACTTTGCTTGAAACCTGAAAGGAATCTACTTAAACCTTAGATATCTCAGTAAAATAGGTCCAACAGCTTGAACTACTCTTGAATATTGACTTACGCATTAGGCTCTCTCAATTGAATATAGTCCCAAGCGGTTCATCACTTGGAGATAGTTATCCAATAATTCATATAATGCGATCAATATAGCCTTCGATTGATTTCCCTTCAAAAATAAATTGTAACTTTTTTCAATGAATGAAAATTCACAAAAATAGAATTCATATTTTTTTTCGTATTCGGATTATGAATGTGCGGTCGATAGAAAGAAAATAGGTATCTTCATAAACATAATATTTTTTTTTTGAGAATAAAAATTGGATTTCTCTTATATTTATCTTCTATTAAAATTTTATTTTGCTAGACATGTCTGGATATCAATGAAACCAATAATGAATATGAATATATTGATAGTAATGTTTTTGATTTACCAGAACAAAATGTAATACATGACGATGTATCACGTTTAGTACGTAAGTATAAATACAATAAATCATTGAGCGAAATAATAAATTTTAAGATAATTTTATAGATGCATCACAAATAGATCAAGATATGTTAACATCAAAAATGACTGATCTTGAAGCAGTCATTACATATTATTGTAAAAAAAAGTATGTAATTATGTGAAAATTTTATTCAAAATTTATTTTCTTTTTTGTAAGTCATGAAACATATGGAAAAGGAAATGGATGGATTGAAATATTTAAACCACTAATTACTCTTGAATATAAAGACCGCTCTGAACTTTATGCATTATTTGCTAGTGTTCGCAATCGTTACATACCTCGGTAAGAATTTCTTTGTAATACTATTTGAAATAAATAAATAAAATATATATCTTTTTAAGTGATTGTGAAGCTGATGGAATGCCTTATCACTTATTTCGATTATTATTACTTTATCATGATCCAGAATTATGTAGTTTTTTTGATACAAGAAAAATTATACCAGATTTATATGCACATATTTGGGTATGATTAATAAATTTTTGAAACTATTATTAATTTAATTTAATTTTAGATTCGAAGTTTATATGCTGGATCATGTTCATTAAATGTTACTTTACCGCTTTGGGATGGATATTTTCAACATGCTGATCAATTTTTTGCTTTTTTTCTTGCTCTTGTTTTACTTATGTTTGCTAAGTAAGATTAAACAAGAAATAATAATCATAATAGTTATTATTATTAAATATTCTTAGAGAACAGTTGTTAGAAATGGCTGACAAGGAAAAAAATGAAATTATTAGTAAATCATTAAAACAATTGTCTTGAATCAATTTATCTTTTTTTTTCTTATTTTTTGTGTAAATTAGATTTTTTATCAAAAGCACCATCCAATTTAACTACTGATGATTTAGATGATTTTTGTTCATTAGCTAATCATTATGCGTCAAATACACCTCAATCATTCCGCAAAGTAAAACGAAAGAAATTAATTGATTTCAAATTTATTTAATTGTTATATTCTTCTTTACAACAAAATAGGAATTCTATTCATGTTTATTCAGTGAAACAGATCGATCATTTTCTCAAAAAGCTTATTCCATCTATCAAGCATTATGTTTACCTGTTTCTGTTCAAGAACTACTACAAGCAAATCAATTAGGCGGAGTATAAAATAAAGTTTTATTTATATGTTCATTTGTTTTTCTTCTATCTATTGACTTTTACTAGACGGCAGGTGTCAGATATTTTATTGTTGATTGTCGACCAGCTGAACAATATAATGCCAAACATCTTTATACAGCATTTCATCTTGATGCGAATCTTGTAAAACCGATTTTTTTTTCTTTTTCTTTATTAAAACACTCTGTTTTTTTTAGTTACTCGAAGATCCAAAAGAATTTGCTGGAACTGCAGATGCACTTTTTGCTACACAAAAACGTGCTATTGATGCTGGTAAAGAGTTCTCAATCAATTCTAATTCTTAACTACATGCATTTTCAGTAGAAAGTTTGATATTTTCAAGTATGTCTTATCAGCTAACAATTTGATTTAACTATAGGAACGAAAACATAACATACATGAAGCAAGATTCATTATCGTCAAAAATGTCTTTCAACAATATGTATTCAAAGCTCTTCTGAATAGATTTAATACATAGATTAGTTTTGTCGACACTGCACATGTGCGGGATTAAAACAAAAATCATGGCAAAGAAAAGTTATTAAGAGCATGTTCCAAATTGCGAGCAAAAGTTGTCTTAGCCGAAAATAAAAAAGATAGTTAACTATTCTATGGCTTCAAGCGAGTTACCTTGTAAATTGAAAAGCTAAAATCATCCGAACCATGTTGGATATACCTAGGTCATGACTAAAACAATTTAATCTCGCACATCTCTAGTTTTGACCGATAACGAATGCTATATCTAGTAGAAATACTTTAATGAACGATCGATTTCAAATTCATTTGAACCTTAGCTAGTGTTGTATCGCTAAAATTTTTATCAATTTTAGATAATCATTAGAAATCTAAATAAATTTCTTTTTCTTTTTTATTCATTTAGGTTCAGCAGCAGGTGGTGAACATCTATGTTTTATAGGTTCAGGTCATGAAGAAGAAGATAAATATGTACGTATGGTTGTAGCTTATTTTTTACGACGCAATACAAAATATGTTAGTATTGCTTCTGGTGGTTATGAAAGTAAGTTTTTATATGGCTCATCATGTTTTTCAATATTGTATCTTTATGAAAATAGTTCTTGCACAAGCTATCGAAGACCCAACCATGTTAATTCAACAACAAGAACGTAAAATCTCAACAGCAGCAGCAGTAGTACAGGAATCACTATCTATTGGATCAACACTTAAACAAAACATAGCAGAAAAATTACCTGTAATTAATACGCAGGTAAAATATTCAACATAGAATGGATATAAAGGAAAACAAAACATTCTTTTTTTAATAGACGGCTTCATTACTCAATATGATTTCAAGTGCAGTTAAAACAAAATCTATTGAAGTCAAAGATAAAGTTAAAGATTATATAACTCATACATCATTAAATGATTCATCACATTCAACATCTAAGTAATTTATTATATTTCTTATATTTGTTTATTATTTTTATTCATTAGACATGTAAGTAAACAAGATAAAGTCGGTAAACTTTATCGACAAAATCAACCATCAGTTTTTTCACTCGATGAAGAAGATGATGATGATAGTAAGAAAAAAAACTTTTTTTTTCTTTAAATAATTTGTATTTTCTTTTATTTAGCAACAACATCATCATTGCGACAACAAGGAACATCTGAACTTGTTGATATTGAATCATGGTTTTTACGTAGTGATCTATTATATAAATATGAATGTGAACATTTCGATGAAAACGATAGACCACATCCAAGGTAATAAGAATAAAATAAAAGAAATCCTGCATTTTTTTTTTGTTGTTGTTATTTTAGTCTTTTATTAGTATCATCAACACATTTATATATATTACGAAAATTACCTGAACATAAAACAATGGCTAATCTTGTTTCACGTCGTCCATTAAATATAGTATCAAAAATAACAAGTAAAAAAAATTTTCCTGAAATTATAACATTTCGTTATGCAGCCAACCAAGGCGAAGAAGATGAACAAGAAAAAGCTATTAAATCGAATATGAAAAATACAAAAATAAAAATTCCAATTGATTGTGATAAAGTTTATATACCTGATGCAGGTGATGCTATAAAGAATATCAAAATATTAATTATGAAAGCATTAAATATGTTCGAAATCTCGAATGAAAATTGATTAACTCGAATCTTTCTTTTTTTTTATTCTATTGGTGGTATTTCTTTTGTTTTTTGCTTCTATTGTCATTACGAACAGAAAAACGAAACACTATGTACTTTTTAAAACTAATATATATATGTATTTAGTTTTGTTTTATTACATATTTCATTGATTGCAATACATTTTAATTTACAATTATGTTATTCTGGTTGGGTTTAGAATATAACATGAATAAATCAATACATTTATTTTTATCGTTTCGTATCCGTTGATTGACATGACATACAAAATATAAGTTAATTAGGAAATAATTGTATATCTTAATTTTTTGTTCAATATTTCTATTGGGATTTGATATAAAGAAAATTACAATTATGAACAGTTTAGAGTAATTTAATCATATTTTTTTCCATGGAGGCGTATCGTTGTAATTTTAGATAGCATAACAAGTCATTTTCTAGTAGACTAGAGCTCATTCATAATAGAATTTTTCTGTATGAATGAATATTGGTTCTGATGTCAAATTTTGAGCATGTATTTAAAAAAAAATTTACGGATCATAGGCATGAAAAATAATTCATTGAGAATAGAGACAGAGATCAAAGTAACTGTCATATGAATATAATGAATGTAATAAAATTAGATTTAATTTTTTTATTATTCATTCGACCATAAAAATAAGCACAAATTGGCTACATGTATTCATTATCTTATTATAGGTAGTTTTCTTTTTCCTGATGCTTATCAACCGTAAATTTTTACAATTTGACAACAAAGAAAAAAATTCATAACTCTGATTCATTTATAAACAAATCTTTATGTATTAGAAAATGTATTGTTTATACTATTTGAAGTTACAAGGTTACTTTCGATGAAAAAGTATTGTTGTGCACTCTGTATATAGAGTGAAAATAATCTATGAATAGCGAACGAGTTCATTTCAAGCTAGAAAGAAACTAAACCTATCAATGTAATTAATTTTATTTAACAATAATAATCAATAATGATACACTTCAAATTAGTAAGAGAATTTTGAAGAAAAACAAGTCGTTTTTCATGTTAAAAGACATTAGAAATTTTCAAAGATTTATTTAAATCTAACATAGTTTATAACAACATAATTTAACAGGTAATTCATGTGATCAATGTTTTCATCATATTCTTAGATTATGTATCGAGTGAAAATCCGATATACAGCTACAATAAATGCTTAAAACTATAAATGATTAGGGCTGTAAGTTGATCAGTAGGGTCATTGCAACGATATAGAGATAGATATTTAATTTTTGAAAACTTCAAACATCCCAGATCAGCTTTTTGAAATGTTACCATTCTGTTTTTTGTCAAGAAATTCTCTAAGATAATTTTCTCACTTTATTATTTCAAAACTTCATGTAAAATCTTCAGCTGCTGCCAGCGATCAATGCATCGATTTACATCTCTATATATGATACTTAGAAGGTGTCAGGCAATGCCGTGTTTTAATATTAATCTTCAAAGTTGGATCTTGTACTTACGAAAGAACATATTTAGCTGTCGAACGTTGTTCGACCTCATATTATGGTTGTGAGTAAGACTTAGCAAAATTCAGAAACATCTAAAAAAATATATTTGTTTGAGCTGAAATTTTTAACATATTCCAGTGGCTGTAAGACTTTACTAAGACGGTCATAACCCTGACTGAGTGATGCACGAATCAGTAGCGTAGCCAGAAATTTTTCAAGGGGATGCTGACTCATTATGGGATGTGCACACCAGCAGCAAAATAAATTTTTATTTCTCAAAAAAGATATTTTACCTGTACTCCCCTCCAGGCGTTTTTTGTCCAAGGGGGGTGCCCGGGCACTCTGTGCACACTCTCTGGCTACGCCCCTGGCACGAATTCAAACCCATTTAGAGTTTTCTTATTTTCCCCGAGTCCTAACCATAGCAAAGGAAGGGAGTTGAACAGCGTCTAATAATTGAATAGATGCCCTAGTTAGAGAAAATAGGTTTATAAAAAGAGGATAATATTTTAAAAATTCTCTAAGCTAACAAGAAGTATACAGATCTTCTCTATTCCAATCATTACACCTGCTGCATAAGAATATACAACTGATTTCAATATTTCATTCAATTTTATCTTTTAAAAAAGAATCATGTTCTTTCTATCAAACATAATTACATAAGAAAAAAAACCGAAAAGAAGAAAAAAAGAGTTAAATTCGTCTAATATCATTCAAACAATACAACAACAATATTTATACAAAAGAAGAAAAAAAAGGAGACAGAGAAAAGAATAAAGAAGTTAATAGTATTCGATAAATCACCACAATTATGAGTCTCTCTACAGAATAGTATGAAATAACCTTGTCCATATTTCTTGATCATATATAAAAAAGACAAAATTTAGTCGACTAGAAAGAAATAGCAGAAGAAAAGATATTCTTATCATGACTAGCCGCTTGTAGCTGTCATCGATGATATTGTTGTACTGGAAACAACTTCCATCCATCTAATGAAATAAATTACCATGTAAAAAACAACATAGATAAAAAAAAAGAATTTTTTCTATTTACCGATCAAAAGCATATTGACTTTCAGCACGAAAAAAGTAAACATGATTTTTAAATTGAAGCTTAAATACAAAATCTTTATTAACACCATCGGTTTCTGATGGTAATGAACTACGATAACCAAGCAATGGTAAGGATGCTAATGGAAAATCATCCTTAAAATATATAAAAAATAAAATAGAAGACAAAGATCTATCAACTTCGTTTTTTGTTACTTGATAAGTTTTATAAAAGAATAAACAAAAATTTGTAAAAACAACCCATAATTTTTGCCAACCATTTGAATTTTTAAATTTACGTAATAAATAACCACTTAATTGATTTTTAATTGATTGTCGATGATCATTCATTGATACAGATAAATTTCTATGCCAACATACATGCATTGTTGTATTAGCACGATGTTGGATACATGAACGTTCTATTTGATGTACTTTTTCTTCTTCAATTGTTCCTACAATTGAATGATCAAGATTTTCAGATGATGCTATAAAGAAAAAGAAAATGAATATATTGAAATTAAAGAAAAATTTTTTTATGATCATTAGAAATACCATTCGATTTTAGTGTAGATGTATATTGATTTTTATGTTCATCACCACTAGTTTTTATGTTTTCAATAGCTGATTTTAAATCATTCAACCATTTATTCTTTTCAGCTTCCGAACTAGAATTAATAATTAATCATTTAATCAAACGATAACTGCTTAGATTCATATAGATTTTAAACGTCTAATGTTTTCTGTTTCAGTTATATACACTCAAGAAAAAATGAAAAAGTATTATGATTAGAGAATCAACTAATGATGGTCGTTACCAGAGCTAGTTTTTCGTTTGTTGTACTAAAGAGAACGATAGTTTTCCTTATATTAGAAACATCACTGTCTATTTCTGATGTCTTTCTGACAACTATGCCTAGCGATAACTCTGAACAGAAAGCCAGTCTGATGAAGAGTTCTTGAGTTCATCATACACAATAATTGATCAAAAGAGTAGGTTTATGTCGCAGTATAGTTTATAAATAACCGTTAGTGATTTTTTCATGGTCATTCCATGGTTGATGGTACTGGCAGAGAAGACCTCCAACTGTTTGATTGCTTTTAAATTGAGCTTATGTTTACTATATAGGTTCAAATGTGTTATGAATACCATGAAAAGAGTGCGTGTTCTTAGCTTAGTGCTATGGAGATAATACGCTTTAATGGTATTTTTTAAAATGAATATTGTAGTGTTTTGTCAACGTTTCAAGTATTGACGTTGCTCGTATTCTAATATACAATTATAGTAATAATGTATCTTTAACATTACATATGTGGACCGACAGCTTTCGTGTTCTTATTTCAGGATACGAGCAAATCTAAAGACTTGAAACATTCACAATAAACTACTCTCGTTAAAGCCTATCTCCATGTAACCTTTCAAAGCGAAACTCAAAAACCAATTTTTCTGGTGTTCCTAAGGAGGACTACAATATTCGTTTTAAAAAATATGATAAAAGTGTAGTAACTGTGTAGCGACAAACTAAGGACACAAGTTCTTTTCAGATTACTCATAGCCCATTTGAATCTACATAATGTACAAAGTTTCAAATACAAAGAAAATGAAAATTTAGAAGACGTCTCTCGTCAGCCATGGCGAGATTACTCTATACATACAAAGCATATTAGCAATTCAGAAATACTATGTAAACTTTTTTTTTTTAATACAGTGAAGGACGTTATGATGACGTTTATAGAAAAATTTTGATTTTAAACTTTTGGGTACAAAAATGAGAGAGAAAAATATTTTAAGTCTAAAACGTATAAATTTAAAGACATTTGTTTTAGTTTCTTTGTTTGTTATATAAATTTTCAAGGATTTCTCATCAATTAAGATAACAGAATCGACTTTTTAAAAATCTATTTCAAAAAAGTAAACATTTTATATTATGCTTGTTGATAATATGAAAGAGATAAGTATTAAATATAAAAAAAATTTAGTGTCTATACTCGAGCATGAAATCATCGAATGTAAAGTCGTCGATAGCCTACACAAAGATTTAATAAATAAAAACTAGTTGTAGAAATTTGTTGTCTTTTAATAGAAACATGAAAGTAGGCTTAAGTGTTCGAGCACAACAATATTCAGGAGAATGAAAAAGGCGATCACATAATGCCATAATTTCAGTCAGGAAGTTAATCAACAATTTTTCAGTCTAGCATAATTCCTACTCTATTTATCTTTACTATACATACCTTGCTGCTACAAGTAACGATCGAGTACCCGTATGTATTGTGATAGAATTAGGAATTTTAGCACGTTCATCACTATCTTCAACCTAGAAAATCAAGAATTAAAATGATTATAGAATTATTAGAAAAAAAAAAGAATCTTCAAGTACTAACTGTCATTAATTTTAATGGAAGTTCACCGTGTAATTTAAATTGAAGTATTGGACTCGAACTACGAGCACAATAAAGTAAAACATCAGAGAACTAAAAGAAAGTCACGTAGAAGAATTCAAATAAAAATAAATTCTTTTTTTTCTACCAGAAAAAACATTCTTTGTTGATAACCCTTTCGTGATAATTTTTGTAAACAACCTTCACGTATAAATTGCTATCATAAAAAAAGAGAACAAAATTCTAATTCGAATATTCGAATTTCAGTTGATAATTTACTCGATCATGTTGAATTGAAAGATTATCTACACCAATTAAATCACGTTGAAGTTCAATTAATTTTTGTCGATTTTGCTAAACAAATTCATTGAAAATATTTCAATCAATAATTTCAAAATAACCTACCAATAATGTCAATGATTCTGTAAAATTTTCAATATAATCTTGAATTTTAATATAAATTCCATAACAATCTTGATAATCAATTTCATGGTTATTTTGTTTATAATATATAAGTAATTCTAAACAAGAAAAGCTGTTTGTATAATCCCTACAGGACTCAAATGTGAAACATGTTGTAGATGCTCTTACTAATCGTAGAGAAATCGTTTTTATTGTATCTATTTTAAGACACATTACTTCATCATTCTTTTACTGAACATTAAGTAATGCATTCAGTGATTAGTACGCCTACACATTTCTTAGATTACTAGAGCCTTCGAATCCGATTCGTACTTGGAACCAGTTGGATTACATTTATTATCGAACCAATAACAAACTGACTGATTTTATGATAGAAACTGATAAATACCAGCCAATTCGAGACTAACCCAACGGACTCTAGTCAGTATCTATGGCAGAATAAAAATTTTCACCCCTATACTTCAATACTGCTTTTTAGATCGTGTTTTACAAAATATATTAGTTCGAAATAATATAAATGAAAAAATAAACAACCAAACATACTTTCTAGTAAATATTCATAATGTAAAAGTCTTTGTAATGGTTTAAGTAAAAATGATATAAATGATAAATAACAAAATTTTTGTGATTCAAATTCTTTGTACATTAAATCAAAACGTCGATTACGTTTAAGTATATGTTCAAGTTCACTTAATAAATGATCATAATTTTCTACATAACTTTCATATTTCTATAAGTAAAAAAATTTTCAATAGATAATGAAAAACAAAATGTTTTACAAATGTGAAATTATTCTTACTGGTAAAATTTCAACTAAATTCACAATAAGATCACCGATTTGTTGATTTGTTGTTTCTCCAGATAAACATTCATTACCTGGTATAGAACGACTTTCCCTTTAAAAAAGAAAAAAAAATTATATTTTATTATTTAAAATAATTATCTGTTTTTTTTTTACCAAAGTGATATTCTTTGTTCAAGTTGTCGAAGAAAATGAATATGAAAATTATAAATAGGTACTAAATGAGTAAATAACAAATCAGCTAAATTAATTAATGCATCTTTTTCTGAATAATGTTGTTGTTGTTGTTCTCCTTCAATAAATATTTCATTTTGTTCATTAATAATTAGCATTAATTCACGACGAAAATTATCAGCAATAACTTCAATATCTTTTTTATATGTTCGTTCAGTCATTAATAATTCTTTACAAATAAAAAATGCTCGATCATGTGCAGATGATATTATCATTGTTGATGAGACTGATGTTGGAAAATGAATTTGTGCCGATGATGGTGGCACAGTACCAATTAATCGCTAAATGATTTAATTTTTATTAGAAAAAAAAACTAAGAACAAGAAAAAAGAGAAAAATAATCATACTGGTATGCCGGCAATTGGTTGAGTCATTGGATAAGATATTGATGAATTTATTCTGGACGCTAAATTTACATCAACGACATTTTATTAGATTATCGATAAAATTATAATCTCGAGGAGTCTATTAATCTATTAAGATTGTGTACTCTATTGCAGAACAGAATAGTATCGAGATATAAATCATTAATATGAAGATCGTCGAATTACTTTCAATCATCTATGTTCGTAAGTTTCGTTTCAGCAATCATTCCTTACGTTCACTCATTGTCAATATTGATTATATTTATAATACTTCAAGCTTCGTCTTAGAATATTGTCAATAGCTTCAGTAATAGAAATGAAGATCACCACAATACAAATTATCAAATTTCAGCAAAGGACACACTGAATATATCAATTATAATACATTCGTAGATTTATTATGAACAATCTAGATTCTGATAACAGAAGATTTTACTTGTGCTTATTCGTGAATAAAAATTTTAGGTATAAATTTACATGCTGATTATGAAAATATTTGAGGTCTGAATTCGATAAAAATTAATGGATGAGTTCTTAACTATTGTCTTCGATCTGTAAATTACTGTATACTCTATGAATATAATTTTTCTTTTTTTCTTTATAATCTTCAATCATATTACATACGTGATTGTTGATGTGTAGTTATAGTTCTTGATTCAATCTTACTCAAAGTTGTTGTTGGTGAACGATATTCATGAATAATTGGAACTGCTCGAATCTAATGCAAATGAAAAGAAGCCTTATGACTTTTTTTCTGTCCTTGAAACTCATGACGCCTTTACCTTATTATCATCGATATGTGTTTCATCAGGCTGATTAATAAATGTTTTTAACACAGAAGAAACTGGTAATATACTTTCTCCAATTGAAGACCTTAAAAAAGTTAATCAATATGTATATAGATATTATATATATAATCCAAAATCTATGAATTATTAATTATGTTAGTCTCTTTATTAATTACCTTTTATTTAAACTATTAATATCACCATTATCATTACTGATGATTGAAGGTTGTTTAGTAAGACTTAATCTTTGTGCTACTGAAATTAATTGTTGCTCAGTAGTTGATGATCTTCCTGGTGGTGTACTATTTGTTATAGATGGTACAGGTCGATGATTATTCACAAATCCACTTATCTCACGACGATACTGTTGTTGATTTGTTGATATTGAATCTCCTGTAATTAAGGATAAAATTTATTCTTGTTTTTAACAGTGATATTGTCTTTTTGTGTATGTTTCTGTTTGGTGTTCATTAATTCGGATCTAATTAATTATCTATGAAAATTTCTAGATCTTTTTTTTTCTGAATCGCATTTATTTCGTCTTGTTTGTTTTTTTGTTATGTCATGTTAATTAAGAACGAGATTTAGTACGATACAAAACTTCTCCACAAACGCATACAAATGATAGTTTAAGCGAAACAACAAACAAAAACTAAAAATTTATTATTATTTAGCATACAAATAAAATTTAGGGGACATCAGCTACACATACGGATATATATATATATGTGTGTGTGTATGGACAAACAAACAGAAAGCGCGTACTGTCTACAAAGATAATAATAAGTCGCCGGGTTTATGATTTGTTGTTTTTTTTCCAAAAGAAAAAGAAAGAAAGAGTGAACCGAATCATAATATAAGGAAATCTATTTCTACTATCTAATTCTTTCATTTTCAATTGTTTTTTTCCCAAGTAAATATAGGAAAAATATATAGATATATATATATCCCTGATCGTGTAAATAAAAAATAGAATTCCATGAGCAAGAAAAAAAAGAAAAAACACTCATTCTCAATTACTTAACATGGAGAGAAGAAGAAAAAATAATTCATTTTCTTATCCACTATTAGAATAGAAGCAATAGCGAAGATCTGTACAAATTCAATTAGATAGATATACATATAAGTATAACAATATAATGACTAGATAGAAAGTAGAGAGAGAGAGAGAAAATAGTAATAATCATACGAAAGATCTCATAACAGAAATAAATATATAAAAAGAAAAATTCTATTCACTTGTTATGATGACTACGTTGAACAAAAACAGAACGATAACCGGCTGCTTTATTTAAATGATTTGAAAGTGAATCATCACTTGATGAATTAAGATCTTCCGTTGAACGTCGTTTTTGTTGTTGTTGAAGACGACGTTGAGCACGTACTGGTGGAGGAAAGGAAGGATTAGGATTAGATATTGTTGTCGGAATAATACAAGTTTTTAAACTAGTACTTATAGATGTTGTTGGATTCGAATCTGAATCATCACTTAAATCAAGAAGACGTGCTGATAATGGACGTTGATGACGTTTTAAGTGGCTGTCAAGTACAGGTGGACATGGCACATGCATTGATGATGCATAGGATGAAACGGAAGAAGCACGAGATGAACGTGTTGATGATGATGATGACATAACATTAGGAACAGATGTAGAAAGAGGAAGAAGTGGAGGAAGTGAAATAGAAGATTGCGAAGGAATTACATCATTTGAAACAATATTAAAAAATTTTAGTTTAGCTTCTGAAAATGTTGAAAAATCTGATCGATTTAAGTCATGTAAATTATTTCCACTTGGAAATGCAGCAAAACATGTTTGAGCAGCCAATTTACGACTTATATCAGTCCAATCAGTTGTTGTTGCAATTACTGGACTTGATTTTGTACGTAAACGAGATGCTAGATTATTAGCATCGTTATCATTATCATGATTCTTATCAGTTTTTTCTGTTTTTAAAATGCATGATTTATGATGAGGTATATGAGAAGATCCAGCAAATATTTGTGCACGACACTCCATAAGATATAGACTCAATGCGCGTGAACATGCTTGTTCGACAAGACGATCAACAGTAGCGATTAGTTGTCTTTCTTCTTCAAGAATTTGTGTAAGAATAGATTCAATTACTTGTCGAACTAATTCTATTGAATCTTCGGAAGATTCTTTTTCATACAATGGTATAATTTGATCACTGGCGATTGTATCATCTTGCCATGATAGACTGTTTATTGATGGTAATATACGTCTATCAATATATTCAATATAATTTGTCATACGTGGTAATGAATGTGGCTTTGAACGTATTTCTAAAACCATTGGTGGTGCGATATGATCTATTGGTAAATTTTCATTATGATCATGAATATTTGAACCAATTAAACGTTCAATATTTGGTGGTTCTAATAATGATGATGATGAACTTGATGGTGAATGTGTTAAATCTATTGATAATGTACGTTCTAACTGTAATGAATTTGAACGTTGTTGTTGTTGTGAACGTTTTAATAATAATTTTTGTTGTTCATCATCTTCATTATCATTTATGAAATTATTTACATTTGTTGTAATACATATTGAATGTGAACCACGTGTTGAATGTCGTGTATTTAAATACATTTTTAATGATGATGAATAACGTTTTACATTTTCAGATTGATTCAATAGATTTTTAATATCTTTATTTTTACTATTTTTTTTATTATCATTATGATAAATTTCTAAGCTTACACGATTTTCTTTTTTATGATTCGATTCACTATAATCTTCTTCTTTTTCTTCTTCATCTTCTTCCTCTTTATTATCATGTATGTCTTTACATAAAATATTTTCTATACCCGGCGACTTACTTTTATCTAATTCATCAAGTTCAATTTCACGTTTGGAATTTATTGTTTGTTCAATTTCAATTTTTTCTGTATCATGTGGAATCGTTGTTGTTGTTGTTGATGGTGGCGGTGGTGGTGATGATGAACCATTAATTGATTTTTGTGTTTGTTCATTAGATTGATTTTGAATATTTTGTTCTTCTTCATGTTCTTCATCTTCGTCTGTAGTACCACCACCCGATAGATCATATTTATCACGACTAAATCTTGAATCTAATGTTCTACTACCATGTGTTGATGAATCATCATGATAAACTTGTTGATAAATATCATTCGGTGTTGTTGAAATAGTTATATCTGTAGTTCCTGTTGCCATTATTGGTTGATGTTTTGTTGGAGTTGTTGTTGAAATTCCTGGTTGTCGTGAATGTTGACGAGTTGATTCAACAGATGATAGATTTGTATCTTGACTTCGCATTGTATCTGATGATTTAAGTCCTGTACCAGGTGAACGAAGTGAACGATTAGTTGTTGGTGCAACTGTTCGAGTATTGGAATAAGATCTGAGAAAAAAAAACAATTTAAAAAAAAATTCTTTTTTTTTTTGCTTTTGGTTACCTAACAAATGTTCGATTTTTAACATAATGTTCACGTGCATATTCAACAATTTCTTTTTGTGTTCGACCATTATATCGAAATGATGAACCACGTGTTAATAATTTACTTCTTGAACGTGGTGTTCGTTTTATAGTTACACAACGAAAAAAAGCATGATATTCAATACATTTTTTCCAAAAATTTTTACATTCATCACGTGTATCAAAATAAAATTCAACTGTATCTTTATAATAACCCTTGAAATATACAAATAAATAAATAGAAAAATCGTTTTTTTCTTTTGTTTGAAATTATTCAAATAAATAAATCTTACATAGCCTTCTGGTTGTAATTTAATTAGAAATTTTTTACGTTTAAAACTTAATTTACGAATTTTAGCCCATGAAAATGTATTTATTTTCGTTATATTTTGAAAGACAAGTATTCCCATATGTGCAACGGACAAATTAAGATTGACTTGTTCATGATCTTTAGCTGGATGCATTTTTATACCATATAATTCGACTTTACGAGCAATATCAAGTAGATTAAGATCGGCATCGGCTGGAAGTTGACCACTGTACAAAAGAAAAAAGAAAACAAAATATATATAATTCGAAAAAATAAATCATATTAATTATATTTAAACATACACATGATTTTTATGAAAATTCATTATACGAATTTCATGTTCAGCTGTTTGATGTGGAAAAAATTTTCGACCACCTAAATAACTTGGATTGTTATTATATGATTCAAGATAGTCACCAATTTCCGCTAGAATATAATAAATCAAATATTAAAAAAGTTTTATTCATTTCTTTTTTTTTTGTTGATCTACCTTGAACAATATATGATGCAAGTAAAGCAGCCGTGTTATCACTACATAGTAGTGTACCAATATGAAGATCACGTTTTATTTGTAATGCAAAAAGATACCTATATAAAATACAAAAGAAAAAAAAAAGATCAATATTGAATTACTTTTTTTTTTCTTGTTTTGAATAGTCAATTATTTATTTGTCAATGTCAAAGACATATTTTTAATTATTCTAAGTCAAGCTTTTTCTCGGAAATAAAGTGAATAAACTGCATACTAGCCTAAGGCTAGATTTGAATAGAATAATAAGACAAAAAAAAGGCGTATACATAAAAAAAAAATTTTACCTAGTAAATTCTTCTTCTAATTGACCAGGATCTGGTGTATAAAATTTAACACAAAATGAAAATTTCGTTTCAGTAACTTGTTTAAGTACAGGTTTATCCATTTCAAGCCAACACTAAAAAAATAAAATAAAACAATAAAATTGTTATACTTTGTCTTTTTTTCTTCTTATTAAATACATACAGTATTTCGACGACTATCAAGATATTCAAGTGCAAAATAATCATTTTCAAGTAAATCTATATAGTTACAAACTGTAGTAAATAAATCTTGTCCAGTTGCTTTTGGCTATTAAAAAAAAAAAAAAAATAGAAAAGATCAACTATGTTTATAATAAAACTCTTCAGTTATTCAAGCGAACATATGTATATAATAAATACAGATGCAACTTATTTCTGGTGTTAATAGACCGAATGTCATCATCATAACAAATATGATGATAGACGTGTGTGTGTATACAAAAGTTATTAAACTTGACGATCTTACAAATGAACACTTCAAATAGAGACAAAAAGACTTATATATTGCCTTTTATTTTTGTTTTTGTTTTGACAAAAAATATATCGTATAATCATTTATCATGATTAATAATGTTTGACATCGAGACAAAAATATTAAAATACAACAGTTGCCTATATGATATTGATCTAATACTTACATCAATATGAAATGGTAATTCTTGATCATCTAACATGCGAACTTTACATGATATTTGTTTGCTAGTTTTGCCTTTTGTCATTGTTGAACTCATTGAAAAGGTTTTTTTTATTCTTTTGTCACTATTCTTGCTGCGTTTGTTATTTTTATAATTAATAAAAGGTTTCGTTGACTTTTTCCGTTTGTTTATATGCAGCTGTTAATAATGTTAAAGTCCGTATTTATCGTGGACGGATAACATATGGACAAGAAGAAAGACAACAGCTGAAGTCATTCGTTGTCATTATTTAAAGCATAAAATATTGTTCGTCCTAGTTGCGTGATTATGGAAGTCGTTGTTGGTGCATCATTATTATCATCATCTTATCTAAAAGAAACATGCCATACACATACATGTATATATATAAACCTAACCCAAGCTATCTCTATCTATCTATCATTAATGTTCATGATTCGTATGAGAAGTCACGGTCGGCATGAATGCATGTGGCTTCCTCGTTTGTTTTAATAACAAACTACTCTTTCTGTCTTTCTTCTGCTAATAACATCTCTATTCTCTTATATGCCTATCTCCGCTGTCGAAACTTGATTATTGTAGATAGTAATGGTGAAAGTAAAGAATATATATATATGAATATAAACCACATAAATGCATGCAAGTTTACGTATCCCTTTCTCTCTCTCTCTTTCTAGATATGTATATATATGCATACATAAGAAGATAAAGATTCGAACAAGCTGATTGACTAAGAAAAGAGCAGATAAAAAACAAGACAATTGATCGATTAAATAAACGATTAATGGTGCAATAGTAGCATCGGACGTGGATTTTTTTTCTCTCTCGCTCTCTCTCTGTCTCTGTCTCATTTCTCTTTGATACTGACCGATTTTTTTTTGTCACTCACTATCGTTTCTGCCATTTTCCATTAAATTGTCTATATCTTTTTTTTTTGCATTACAACAATAATGACGACTGACAATCCATCATCTTCTTTCTGGCGGCGATGCCGCTCGGCTATCGTCTCTTCTTTCTCGCTTGTTTCTTGTCGTTCTCTCCACTGTCTCTCTATCTTTCTTTCTTAGCCTCTATTACTCAAATAGTAGAATAGCAATAGAAAAGTCAGCCGTCGTAATGCATTCTATAGGAAGACAATTGCTCAACATAACCAATTCTTCTTTTCTTTATGGGTCTTCGTCGATTCATTTTCTCTTTCTCTCTCTCTTTTTTTTTCTTTTTCTTATTCTTCTTCTTTTTTAGCTCTATCGTTGATGATGATCTCTTTCTCTGTCTGTATGTTGGATGCCTATGCGCAGTCTCATCATCAAGTAACTTTTTCTTTCTCTGCCTTGCAAACACATACACACACAGTGGGTAGTGGCAGTTGGAGCACAGAGACGAAGATATGTGCATGTCCTTCTAATCGGTTTCTTTTCATTCTTTCACTTATATATTCTGGTCAGGCTATCATAAACACACGCAGAAACACTTGGAATAGGATGTTGATGATGTCTGTTTGTAATGCATCGCATCTAGTTCTCACATAAAAAAGACATATACAAAGCAAAAGAATACGTTATGCTTCATTCTTTGTTTGTTTCATAAATCCTAACTAGTTGATCGAGTGAGTAGAACTTACTCGTTCATTCGCGCATTTTTTTTTATGTTTTGGCATTTCATTGGAAATAAATCGCGAAGCGCGGTTCGATTTGGTAAAAAAAAAAAGGCGATAGAAACAGGAAACGAAGCACATAAATGAAGCGGATGTCTATTTGGCTCGTTCGTATATAGATTTATACACACCTCTTCAGTTCTTCACTTATTGTGTTATATTTTTCTCATCAGAATGAACAAAGATGTATGCGCGTATGCAAATACGATGTGCACAATGATGATTGAAAAAAAAAATAGAATTATGATTTTTGATGCCGACTGATCGAGTATTTGAATAGAAAATTACATAGGGCATCTTGCTATCTTTATTTCCCTTATTTTATTCCCAAGATAGATACAACTCTTTTCAGTTCTGTTATGAAAAAAAGAAAAATCTTGCACACACATTGCCATACTTTTATCTAGTTGATTCTTTTTTTTTTCTTTTTTGCTATTATTTCCAGAGTATAGCTCAATCAAATGTCAATATTTTATAAGATTCTCGACTTTTGATCGAAACTAGTTTATCTTCTTTTAAAACATGTTCATTTCCTATTCTTTTGCTTTTCTTGTATCCACTTATGTTCATATTCTATTCGATTCTATTGATTGATGTTGGCTGCTACTAGCTATTCGAGAATAAAAGTATGAGAATATTGAAGAAAATGCAATACGTCGTCCTTATGCTCGACAGAAGACGATGCGACAATATATTCGCTCAGCATGGTAGATGTGTTGCTCTAATTCGATTAATTATTTATTCCAAATACGTTTTCATCCTATCTTTCTGTCTTTTTTTCTCTACAATCACTGGTTCGTTTCATTTCTTTTTTTAACTAGATAAAATATTATTAAGTTATGATAGATTCTTCTTTACTTTCTTAAAATTAATATCAAAGAGGCAAAAATATTCTTTTCTTACCAAATAAAATATTCTTAATAATACACAAATCTGAGGAAGAAGAAAAAGATAATATAAAACGAGAACTATGCTAAATCGATTTCCTTTCATGTTGTCAAAAAGGATATAATGCTCAACTGGACAGTTATTGAGCAGTGAAAGGAAAAAGAAAGAAGAATGAGATGTCAAATCTTCGAAACAAAAAAAAAGAGAACAACTATGTAAATAAACAGTAACGCACAGCATATAAGAACAAAAACGATTAATACTTCTCAGTGGTTCGACATCCAACCAATGATAATCTTGACCTACAGTATACATCCGATTGGTTGAAAATATTTAGATAAAAAAAAGAAAACAACAAACAACAATCAACACGTAATTCATATTTATTTGAGGTTTGGTTTTGTAATCGAATAAAGATCATGTCGAACTTACCGACAACATTTTTGACACATTCACAACGTGTCTGTCGATTATATAAAGCTTTATTTGTATTTGCTCGTCGACAACATTGGCCTGACAGGTTAGTATTATAGAAATATTTCTTCTTTTTTCTTAAAAAAATTTTCCAAAAAAAAAAAAAACTTTCTCTGTAGACTTGCATATCGTCAACGTATGGTAGAATATCGAGCACGTTTTGATGCAAATAAAAATGTACAAGATTTAATGAAAGCAAAACGATTATTAATTGCAGGTGAAGAAGAACTTAAAAAAGTTATGCATTGGCATACAGAAAATTTCAATTGTAAGTATTTTACATATATAACAAACAATAAAAAAACTTTTTCATTTTAAGTTCCTGAATCACCTTATGGTATTGCTGAAAGTCGATATCCAACACCTGATGATTCTGTAAGTAGAGAAGAAATTTATTCTATTGTGTTTCTGTAATTTTTTTTTTCGAACGTAAGGCACTTGATGGGTGGCATCCATTAGAAAAAGCTCAATATCCAACATATTTTGCAACACGTGAAAAACGAAAGAAAGCTTATATGGAATGGTATCTTAAACGATATGGTATTCCAGATCCACCTATGATGTGAACATTAATTTTTTACCTAGTTTTTTTCTTCCCCTCGGATTGTAAAGTAGAGTATTTGTTTTTTTTTCTTATATCACTTATTTACCATTACATTTGTGCGTACATACACAAAAAACATTGTTCTTCTTATTTTCTTTTTCGGGCTTGTCATTATATTGATGTTCTTTTGGTTATTGATTATTCATGGCATGGGATTTGAGAGTAATGTCTATTAATAGGCGTGATATATCATGCCATTTATTTATTATGTCGATCAATCATCTAAGAGAACGCGATTTAATCCTCTATAGTGGTAGTAAAAGAAAAAAAACTAGGATAAATCGTATAATATTTATTATGGATTTATATCGTTCAATTTGGTGAAAGATTTTTATTCGATTCATTTTATTATTTACTTATATAATATTTCAAATAATAGATTGTTGTTTTGTTTTAAGAATAGCTTTCATGTCAAATAAATGTGTTTGAATATAATTTAATATCGCGTGAGTTTATATCTTGTTAGTCATATGGAATAGTTTTCATTGAATCTTGTTAATATGTGAGACTATGTTTTATTTAAAAAAGTAATTTCCTTTTAGCTCTTTTCATATTGATAAAAACAATATGTTATGTAGATAAATTATAGAATGTTAATGTCTGGAATACAATACATAGTAAATTATTTTTATTTTGATTGAAAATATTAAAATTTGATTTGACACTGATCCGGATATATGTTTTGATAGGAATAGTATGCATCAAATCAATTTCTTTTTTTTTTGTCTTCAGGATTAATTCTTTTGCTGAAATGACATCAACATATGAATAAATTCTTGAAACAATGTAACATCATATTATTCTATGTCATTCATATACAAGTGTTTTTTATAACAAAGAAATTTATTATTTTATTACAAACAATCAAGATTTTATCTCTATAATACAGAATACTTAGAATTAATATAGAGAAAAAAACCTATTATGTAAATTATAAAGTAGTAAACTTATACGTTATTATGAGAAGAAAATAAAAAAAAATAGAGAGAAAGCCTTGAATAAGAATATATATTGAAAAATTCATAGAATTATTAAAAATTGAATAGCCTACAGACATTAATGGAATCAAAGACTGTTTCGAGAAAACAGAACATTTTTGATTGTAATTATGGTTGTCAGACTAAGCTAATCAAACAAATATGTCAGACCTTGTTTTTAAGAAATATTCTACGATATATATATATATTTTGTTCTAAATAAATCTATCAAACTATGAAACATATTTAAGTCTTTTTAACCTTAGAAATCTCATCAATGTTCACATATGGTTTTATTTTTTATATTTTGAATTTGTTGAGAAATATTAAAATTAAGGACAATCGACTTTTTCAATGTTATTTCATATTGTTTGCTGTATTCAATACGTTCTTGTTATGAGATATATATTTAGATACTATTATTTCAATATTTCTTATAATTTTTCGTCATAAAAACAGAAGTAGAACTTTATTCAAAAATGTTCTATTTTCATCATCTAATGAAAAATAATCTTGCACTGAAGATATTCGAAGAAAGAATGATTTCATTTAGTTCAAGTATAATTCGAAATATAGGTTAAGCATGGAAAAGGACTTGTTTGTCTTATATAAAATTGCTATTAATAACTTGTAAAATATTCTCAATAAAAGATCATACATAAGTCTTAAGGCAAGACAAAATTAATTTATATGCAGATATGTTCTAACCAAATGTTTTTATATCAGCCTTGAATACTCATGTCAATCCTTTCAATGATATATTATTGAATAATAATATATTCTGTTGTAAATCTAATTATACAAGAATCTCATTTAATTATTATGCATTTGTTATCGTCACTACCTTTTATTAATTCAACAAGTCTCTTAGAAATTTTTATCAATTATTACAAGTTTTTTTTTCTCATTATTTATTCAATTTAGTTGTTAATTGTTAAATACATGAAAACTATTCTCCTTGTAGTTTTTCCTTTAATATTTTTTATAGACTTTAATTGAGGTATCGCGTGAACTTCTTGAAGTAAAATTCGATTATTAAATAATTCATCAAAAGTGCAATATATTAATCTTTGCTCTTTGTTTTAATTTTTTTGATTAAACATGCAAATAACAGCTCGTGATGCAGGTCGACTAAATGAATGAGATAAATAATTATTGATTTCTACTACACTATTTTTTTATCTGGACTTTGTTGGACAATTTATTTTGAACAAAAAAACTTACGTTCATCGATTGCGAAAAAACGTATTCATTATAAGAAAACATATTATTTAATACTATGTTTACATATAAACTCGTGCCTCAAGACTTATGAAACATCATGCAAATATTGCTACAGGCGATGGAATGTTTTGAATATAGAATAAGCACAGCAATCTTTATAAGATCTATACTGTGCAATCAAGAATGTTGTCATTCAAAAAAAATACAGTTAGTACTTTTGTTTTCCAACTCATATTTTGGATTCTATACAGTTGGTAGAGTTCAGAAAGAATTTGCAATTCGTGTCAAAAAACATACAGTCAAAGAAACACGCCAACATTTGTTTTTTTCTATTAATTTCGACTCTCGAAGGAGGAGTTTTCGATCTACAGAGTGTGTAAAAATATTATTCCAGGAGGGTAACGCTATAAT